GGCATGTCGCGACGCTGGAGTACTATTCAGCGTTTTTACTATATTTCTAGGTTTCCTATTTCTACGTTTAATCGGCTCATGTCTCAGCCACAATATTTTGAGGACAATATTATTCACGAACCCAGTTACACTTATTTACTAGCCTATTTCAACGTGCTAATTATTACATTCAGGCGACGCCTGTTGTAGACTGGCATAGTGTTTGCGGAAATAATTACCATTTTATACACATGCGCAGATCGATTTGCCAGCAGCGAGTCATCGCCAGCAGCAGCGAGCCTTCGCCAGCAGAGAGATGTCACTGCAGCAAAACACTATTGTACCAACGCTGTTCTAATAATATATAGACAATGGGTCGTGCTCATATTATTTGTTATATTTTTATTATTCATTATTTTCACTTGACTCGCATAAATAATTTTGTTCGAAGAACATTTTCGCAGTTGTACTTCGCAGCACTTCACTTGCAATTTGCAATTTCTAGTACTGTATTTACATATTTCTATGGACAGTCTGAAATAAAAGTTGAAAAAAAAATGAAGAAAAAAATATTGATTATTTTTTTTTATCATCATTAGCCATAGTATCAGCATTATCTTTATTGTCGTCATCATTATGTTTGTAACCATGCCACCGTTTCATTGTCATCACCGTCGTCGTCATTTAACCAATCATCGTCAATTCATCATTTCAACTTCAGTCATCATCCATATCATCGTTATCATCCATTGTCATAATCGTAGTCACCATGACCACCATTGTTTTCGTCGTCATTATCAATATCATCATTATCATCATCGTCGTCACCATCATCATCATCATCATCATCATCATCATCATCATCATCATCATCATCATCATATACTGTATCTCTAAGTAGGAATATTATAGAATAGAACAATAGTTTGCTTAGACGCCTAACATAACACGTATTTGTTTTTATCTCCCTTGAAGGTACATTTTCTCGGTGTCGGATCGAGATATGATTCTATGTACATTTAGTTTCACGACGTGTGGGTTCTTAATCGGTCTCATCGCGGGAAAAATATGCTGTCGCACCATCGTCCAATCTAAGACTGTTGCTATAGAAACAGGTATTAAGAACTCTGCGTTAGCTCTCGGCATCATAGCAATCGTGTACCCGAAGCCAGACGCGGATATTCTTACAGCCGTCGTTCTCTGGTATGCGGCTGCTCAATTCTTTTTGGTGAGTTTGTGTGTATTTTCACATATTTGCGGATTTTGTACCGGTATAAGTGTCAGTTCAAAGATTTATACTTTCTTTGATAAATTATGGAAAACCCTAAAAATGTAATAATGCATTAATTTGCTCATTTATAATGATCAATAGGGTTAAATTGTCAATTATTTTCAATGAAACATGTTAAAACAAATCGGTGAATTACAGACTGTTTAGGACTGCAAACATCCTTAAATTGATTACTAGTGAGCATCTATTAGAAATAAGTTGGTATTATTTATGCAGCTGTTACTTCTCGTTCAAATATTCAATTGAAAAATATCGTTCAAATATTCATTTGAAAGCGAATTTCCTACGTAAACTGCAATTTGAAAATTCAGTTTAAATTTCAAATATCTTAGTGCAGCACCGAAGTATATAATGTCAGTCAGTTATATATCTGAAATGCTGTGAGAGTGATGTAATTATATCTATTTTCCAGAAACATGGCTGTTTTTTTAATCTGCAATGTATATATGTGAGATAGATTAATTCATGAAGTGTACACAATCCTTTTCAGATTCTTGCAATGGCCGTTGTTTACGCGATTACAACAAGAGAATGCTATAAGAAAAGATGCGGCAGTAAAATCAAAAGCGCCGATGGCGGTGACGATAACGATTCAGAGAAGGGATCACGTAACGATTTAAATAAAGACGATGACGGAGTATTCACTGTCACCAAGGATCCACACAGAGTCAACGATGCTATCACTGCCTATGACGATTATGCAGAACGCAAAGGTACTAACGAGGATGACGTAGCCCCCGTGAAAACTAAACCAAAGAAGAAGAAAAAGAAACGATCGACAGCGGAGGGAAGCGAAACAGCCGCCGCGGCAAGCAGTTTTCAGAGTGAGGCTAGCGAGACAACAGCACCGAAGAAGAAACAGAAGAAAAGAAAAAGGAAGAAAAAGAAGAAGAAAGTTTCCGAGGATGATACAGAAGAATATGAGGAGACTACACCGAGAAGTCTCCCGCCAATTAAAACAGTCAGCAATAGGATCCGCCAGGAGGAGGCGTTAACGTATTACAACGACTCATTCAAAAATGATGACGAATTATGATGTGCATGCGTTACGAGGATGACGTCACAATTACGTAAACTATTAGCACAAAGGCTAAATATTGAAAATATTTTTCTTATACTCGTTTTATATTTTTTTTAACGAGTGATCCTCGATATTATATAGTTTATTATTTAAAGTAAGTTTTGATATTTAGATACAAAATTTTATATAAATGATATAGAACACAAAGCAATGGTTCTTCGGATAATGACCCCAATAAATGTCAAGGTATTTTGCCGCGACCCTTTCCTAAACGTGGGTTTATCCTCTAACGGTGGGAGCTAGGAGGATGCGCATAATGCTGATGAGATCCAGATGGGTGCCCCCGGGAAGGGGGCTCTAATGTGGCCGCCTATAAACCTCCGAAGTATATTTCAGACCAGGTACTCATTGTATAACTTACCTGAGTGCCACACAGTCGGGAATTGAACCCGTTTTATCAGCATGATAGGTGAGTGTCTTAACAGCTCGACCATTGCGACTAATTACAGAATATTGATGACGTTTTGTAGAACACGTGATATACAACAGGTGACTACTGAATGCTTATTATGTCCATAGGACTTTTGGTTTTTCTGTTTTTAAGCTGTATATATCAAAGATACGATCATACAATGAAGTTTTACTTGTATCAGTACATAATGTAATAGTATCAAAATGCCTATCCCTTTTTGCAAAATAAATTATTTAATAAGTATCGTCGCGCTACTTCACATCAAATCAAGTATGCTGAATTAATGAGTATTATATTTTTTCAGCATACATCGGATTATAAATGTATGCCGAAACTTAGCTATGGCATTTGCCCTATATATGAAGACAAAATTTTTAATTATTCATTGATGTGAACATACACGCCTTAATCTGCGCGCGCTTCTCGTGTACTTTACTTCATCACAGACCTACTAAATTTATCCGTCCAGTCGAAGAAGCGTGCGCATAACGTATACATTCCAATCGATCAGTGGCTGAAATAAAATGGCACGCGACAACTGCATGCTCTCAATGAGCAACATTGTGTGTATTTAACGCGTGTGCGGTCTTGCGTGTGTATGTGTGTGTGTGTGTTTTTTTTTATCGATTCCGTAATGAAGCAAATTATGAAAATGATTAAATAATAGTTGTAACTTTTATGAAAATGCGCGATGTTTGTATATTTTAGAAATATAAATATAGAGTTTTAATTTCATACTTGAGAGATTAGAGTGTCAGCCTGAAGACATTAAAAGGGTATCGATACATTCCGCACACTATTTTACATTCTATTGCTGAATAAGGCATCACGTGCAATGGTGACCCGTCCATGTGTGGAGCGCCCGCCACGCGTGGCAGACGTAGCTTTAAACGTGTGTATTAAGTAAATAATAATATTCAAAAATTGTGTGCAGTGATTTTCTCTATAAATGACTCCACTATGTGGTTAAGCAGGCGTAGGACTAGAATATTTGTATTAAAAAAATAGAGTTATGGGTCAGGAATTCGAGTTGTTTTTCCGCCTCGTGTCTCAGCGATCCGAAAGCACTTGTATAGAAAACATCGCGCCTTGTTGTTTACACAGTGCGGTTTCCTGTTTTGCTTACTGCTGTATTATCATTATTGTACATCACGGTCGTTCGATATAAACATGGTAAAATTTAATGGGGGTATAATATATGAGGCTGAAGGTAAGAACGAGACTAATAGGGGCCTATAGTAAATAGTCTTCTTATAAAACGCAAATTATGCAGTGTTGTTTTTACGGAGTGCCAATGAGAGAAAATACCTGACTAGTCTGCTAGGCCTATATAAGTCAAATGCTGCTGAAATACAAATGATTGTACTTGAATTTTCTACAAATTGTTTTCTGTAACATGAAATACACATTTGTTAAGTGCACTTGTTTTATATGTTAGTATTATACAATAAGTATTAATGTCTGTCCAGATTATCAAAGGAGATTTGGCAAAAAAAATATTGTATGCCATGTCATCCTGACCATATTTGGAGACTCGGACATGCCATATGTTTTTTTTTTCAAATAAAACTTTTCAAATGTCATTACAAAGTGTACTATGAAAATTTAAACAATGACGTTATTGGATACTATCTTATTGTAACTACGAAAACAAATCCGAGTATTTGTTTTAGTCTGGTATTACATTTTTAAGGGCAACATTTATTAGATAGTATAATACATACAGTACTCCAAGTATCGCAGTGCACGCCATCGACACGATGGCGTACGTGCATTTCGATACTTGGAGTATGTATTATTAGGGAACAGTGGTATTATACTATCTTATCTGAGATTAATCAGTGGACCTTTCGGTTAATTGTTTATTAATGAATCACATCCGCAAATGCCATGATGTAAAGCAACTATAGTAGTGTAGTCTATGCCTACTATCACCAAACAGACAAAAATGACTAACTAATAATAATCTTGGTACGAATATTGGAACAATTGGTAACAAATGTTGAAAATGTTGGTCTACGTACACTCATTGAGATTGCTGTTTTGGTGCTGCTTCGGAAAATACGCCATATTGTAAAACAACATCATGAAATGCAGAAGTTATGTTTTAGATAGGCCTATCTACTGAATTGTAGATTAATATGGAGTTTTTACAAGTTTACGAAAACGATAACGAATATGGTTACGTCATATAAGTAGGCACCCCTTCACCTTCAGTAGCATAGGGCCTAGCTTTCACAACGTAGGCGATTCATCAGTGCTTTTTGCATGATCAAGGATCATAATCAGCTCGTACAACTTATTGTCAAAAATGGTTTAGGCACGAATGACGAAAATGATAATGACGTATTCGTAAGTTTGCGAAATCGCCCTAATAACATCAGAAATAAAAGGAGTTTATGCATTGTTTTTTTTTTTATCTACAAATGAGCATTTTAAAACGACACAGGTCGACAACAATCAATAAAGACATTTAGCCTAAGTACTGTGATATACGATGATATTGTGTTGCACTGGAAGGAAAATGGCAGCAGATTACTAATATCTATGATAAATGAGTTTCTCGTGCACACAATATAACATAAACTAACAAAGTGTACACAGTTGGGACAATTACCGCTTTACACTTGTTTACCTCGCGTGAATTTTTCTTTTGGTCGTTGTGCAGCGTTTTTACTGTACAGTATGCAGTACTTTTGTTGTCGCTCATATATAGACTGAACGCCTCATCAAATTCATGTGTGCAGCTGATACCATGGAGATATAAAAATATTTTTATACCTCCATGCTGATACTAAGCTACTGTACAATACATCGTGCATTGATTATTATTAAATGAATCAGCTAACATTTTTTTTTTTCGTTTTCAATTGGTTTCAAGGGGCTAACGATCAGCGTTTCATAAACACTAATCCATAACACATGTACCAGTGACATTATTAAACATCTAATGCAAGAAACGTTTCCCATTATTATTACATCACAGAGAAAAGCAAACTACTACCGTACTTGTTATAATGAGTAGATTCATTTTGACATGGGCGTTCAGTTACCATGGCGACATCTCCCTACTGTTATTCTTTCTTGAGGGTTCGAAAAGTGATACGGCGTCGTTACGATGACAAGATGACGTGAAGTCATTGTTTGTCTTTGTTTGAGATAATATGATTATGCAGACACTCGTTAGCCATTTCCATGAACGTGGTACAGATGTGGTACTTGAATATATTGAATGAGTTTGACCTAAAATTATAAAATGAATATAATATAACTTCGAGGTTTCAATCCCCTTGCTTTGCATTTCATTTGTGTCCTTGGGCAAGGCACTTTTTCTGCATTGCTTCTGTCCACCCAGGAGTATAAATGCGTACGGTACCTGGTAGGGTTATATGCCAACATGCGCTGCGTAGCTGCTGCGAGTTTATGGAATATACCCCCAGGGAGCTTGAGTTTATAATCCAATGACAGGGGGTAGTAATGTGAAGCGCTTAGAGGGCTTGTTGGCGTTAAGCGCATATATAAATCTAACATATTATTATTATTAATATTATTATTATATTATTATTATAATTAATATCATTATTATTATATTATTATTATAATTAATATCATTATTATTATATTATTATTATAATTAATATCATTATTATTATATTATTATTATAATTAATATTATTATTATTATTATTATTATTATTATTATTATTATTGGTATGAATGACACACGCAGTGAAAAGAAAAACGAGAATTGTCGAAGAAAAGGCAGAAACAGTTGCATCATTCTAGCGCCTTCTCGACGGCCAATATTGTTGGTTTTTATCATCATTGTTCCTAAAATTGAGCACGGTTTTTATCATTTACCTATTTGTTTATATTTAAGCATACTACGAATTATATAGGCCATGGTATAATATGGATAGGCTAATACTTTAGATACACACATTTATATGTACATCATACATACATAACATGTTGTCATTTCATCGTCTTTGTCATTGAGTTATATAAACATAGGTATATCTCATATTCATGATGATCTCTACTGTTTGCGCGGCATCAGAAACTACAGCTGTTCAACTACGCATGCGAAAAAGAGCGTGGAAGATCAGTTGGTTGGTTTGGACTTCTAAGGATGTCCAAATAGACCATTTGGTTAAGGTTTCTGAGCCACATAAACCCGAACGTCCCGGGTTCGAATCCCACTAGGGGAAACGTTTTTCACACTCAACAATTCCTCTTTTTTAATGTAATATAGGGGCCTATTATATTAAATATAAATTTGAAGGTCAAAGAAAACAGAAGCCCATGAAAAGGGAATTTGCTCTGTCGGAGAATATTATAAAGACACCAACACTCTTTCATTGTTATATATTATATTTCTTTGTTACTTTTTCCTTCTTTGTTATTTTTTCCTATTATTTTATTAACTACATTTTTTTCTTTAAACCTTTCAATAATTATGCTATAAAATGATCTAAATGTTTTCATTAAGCTTACACCATTTCTTTTTTGCGATTTTGTTGATTTTCAGATTCCTCAGATCAAACTTTATTCGTCATATATCAAATACATGAAATTTTCGGGTAATATACACATATCACAAACAATATTCATAAGTAAAATTAACAGAAAAGTCTGTAACATTTGTTACCGACAGACAGACTTTCTTAACAAATTCCTCATTATATAACCTAAGGTAGGAATGAATTTCTGTGTCTGTCTGTCTTTACTCTAATTCGAATTATTCTGCCTGATCTTAAACCATTGTTTAGAGGATGTGTTATTTGTATTCCTTTTCCATATAAATTTAATTTCTCTACTAAACAGGGAGCACATAATATTTATATTTCCCTTTTTTTAAATCAAAATAAGACACATGCTTTATATAATTTACTAAAAGTAAAAATTGATACAAGTTCATTTATGAGCTGATTATATCCACCAACAATAATGTTTTCCCAACAAGAGCATGTTAGCCTACTATATCGTTGTTTTAATTTAAATTGTTACATGTACAGCAATTAACCAAGCTAGATATTGAATAGGCCTACACACACCGATATCGTTTGATTTTCTCACAATTAACTATAAGCCTATTATATGTTTTTCATCATCCGTATCTCGTTCGCATCTGTCACACAAATCTGATACAGAGTTTTCATAATGGAAATTTCTTTTAACAAGTTAATATTGTAAAAGCTTGAACTAGAGTTGCGAAATTTTATTTATAATTACGTTTCATCAAAGATAATAAATAGCAGAAGATAGAGCAGCTTCCCAATATATTGAAACATCCGTTCGAAAGGCATTTTGGGTACACAGAGGGCAATTTTACCCCGTCCGCACGGCGGCGCTATATAGCAATAATAAATGCACCGCTCTGGTTCGTTTGTTTCCTGTAGTTTCTCCACTTAGTAAAATTTTCAAATTTTACCCCATTCGCGGGAGGGCGGATGTTCCATCAATTTTAATACAAATACGCGGAGCAGCTCATTCTTCTGCTATTTAAGTTCTTTGGTTTCATACAATGAACTTTTTTTACACCAAATAATAAATCCCTATCTAATCCTGTAATTTGAGTTCTCTTTCCCACTTGGGTTGCACATTTGGATTGTATACCTTATTATTCAGGAAACCTTTGAACTTTAGTAAAGCGGTTCATTTTTAACATATACCGGTACATTTTGCAAATGATTATGTACATTAAACATGTTCTCTGTAACTATATATTCTGTGCTACATATTTAAAGAATGGACTTCCTTATGTTGTGGTCATATTAGACTGAGAGTATTATTAACTATACCATTCAACAAACAACATAAAACATACATATAAAACGTATTAGGTTAAACTTCCCACGTCGGTGCATGCATAAAATATATTACAATTTGGATAGGCCTATATAAAATTGATAGTCAATAAAAATGCTCGGTACTATTTAAAGAGTCGACTTCCTTTATTAAGTAAATATAAATTTATTTGGGTCTGAAGCTGTAATACCATTAACCATACGACTTGCATGCATATTAAAAACATACTTTCTTGGAAATTGGTTGAGATAGTTAATCAATCAAACTATGCCTATTAGGCCTAACTATACTAAACATGAAGTGGACGTCCTAATGACTTAAATGAATTTATTTGGATCAGAAGCTACGTCGCAAAGTGTTCTGTTTCGAAGTTTATTTTGTGTTTATTAAGTAAAGGGCACGCATTAAAGCCTGTTTATACTTCAACGATAACGATAAAAAAAAGGCTAAAAAGCAATTGTTCATATAGAAAATAAAAGAAATAAAAGAAGTTTCTACACTAGAACGATTCGATAACGATTTATCAGATATGCGATAACAACATATTTTGACAAATCAAACCAGATGACGTCATGATCATAGAAAAACATTAAAATCGTAGTAGATGCAACGATCGTTTTTTCATGATTATGACGTCATCTGATTTGATTTGTGAAAATATTTTGTAATCGTATACACGATAAATCGTTATCAAATTGTCCTAGTGTGAAAACCTCTCTTATTTCTTTTGTTTTCTAGGCTTATATGAACAATTGCTTTTTAGCTTTTTTATCGTTATCGTTGAAGCATAAACAGGCCTTTATTCATGGTGAATTTCAATATTTTAAATAAACTGATCATTTATATCGCATGAACTCACTAAACTTTTTAGCCCTGCCCGGATTATCAAATTTTATTTGACAAAACATGTGACATGCCTGAATATGGTCATGATGACATCACATTATGACCAAATATAGGCATACAACAGTTTGTTGTCGAAGGAAATTTGATAGAGTGTACATAGATTTTTAAATGTTAATGCAATAATGTTGGTATTAATTTAAAAAAATAAATAAAAATTTTAAAAAAATAACAAAGCACCGGCTTTGGCTGGCCGCACCACTTTTTCTCAATATTATTATTATTATTATTATTATTATTATTATTATTATTATTATTATTATTATTATTATTATTATTATTATTATTATTGTTATTGTTATTGTTATTGTTATTGTTATTGTTATTAATATTAATATTAATAGTAATAGTAATAGTAATAGTAATAATAATAATAATAATAATAATAATAATAATAATAATAATAATAATAATAATGGTGGATTTATAAGGCGCATATTTTTCAAGACCTCTATGCAGTCTTTCCTCGACGTAATATACGCTACCCAACAAGGTGCGCGTGCCAAGGGCACTCCACTGCAAATAATTAAACATGGTTGATACGGAAACTGAATATGGCCTTAACATTTATGAAGATGTGTGTTAGTTTCTGAAAGTAAAAATCATAGAAGTTGGAGCATAGGACACCTGTGATTGATAAGGAGAAGGAGAAGCTTTCTAAACTTAACACGCACCTGTGTGCCTATGAACACGCCCCTAAGACTTACATGGCGCGTTATATTTAGCCTATCTATGGCCTGATCTGATACCAAAACGTGTTATCAGACGATTCCGATCAATCAGTCGCCATGAATCAATACACATCTAGGTCATTATTCAACGGTGCTTCGTGATTAGATTTAATGTTTGAGTCAGGAACACAGCTTAACTTATTTATAGCAGGCCAAGTCTTAACAAATTGCAAGTTTTGCAACGTCATTCGCTGGTGATGTCCCCAATAGCAATATTTTAAAGTTTGTCCGTTAGTTAAACCTATATTAATTGTTTGTATTTTGTGAAATGGGCATTTCACATAATTCTCGCATGGTGTCATTATGATGAGAGGCACGTTTGATTCTAAATATTCCGCTGTTGGAAGACAGACGTACCCGACTGTGCAGGGAATACTTCCAAAAATTAAAAAACTCCCATCACAAATTAAACAATTTACTCCCTTCGTTACGTAATGTATCATATAATTTGAGGACATGCACCGAATTTCCTCTACCCAAATATAATACAAACAGATCAAACAACTTTATCAATAATAGGATACCGGGTTGTTCAAAGGATGTAAGTCCTTCCTGCACAGTCGGACGGACATTGTTTTTATGTTTTATTTTAATGTTTAATGCTTTGCTGTTGTCCTTTTGTTGTTAGATGATTGATTTTTTTGATTTGTGTGAAATTGTTCAACTTCAGTTTATTTACATCGTACATCGCAATTAATTTTTTTTATATCATATCGTATTGTATTCATTACTTCTGTCCACCTCAGATTGTGAAGTAGGAAATGATTTGAGTGGAGGGCCCTACATTAACGGAGCCAACAATGGTTTAAATATACCGTACTGTACACACTAGTCTACATGTAGCTTCCGATAGAAGCTGCAAATGGATTATCCTGTCAAGTATCAAGTTTGTTTTTATCAAACCACAACAGAATTCTATGCTGTGTCTGTAGAACCTTAACCAAACCACAGTACCAGGTATAAAATTGAAGCTTTTTGGAGTGTAGATAAAGTTTTGTCCATACTACCCAGGAAAGTCCCTAGAGTCCAATCCATCACATTTAAGACAGTTGGACAACGAATGTAAACAACATTCCAAAATGTTTTCCTCTTTCATACAGTTTACTAGTCTTTTCAAGGGTAGGGGGTATTGTCTTTCATTAGGTATGGCTTTAATATTTGTCAAAATAGAAAATCATTAAATAGGGCACGACGTCATATCCAGTTTTGCTTGGGTACGAACGTTCATAACGAACAGATATCTGGAAAGTCACTTTTGCCTGTTTACAAAAAACAGCGTAACATAGGCCCTACATCTCACATACATACATACGCACGAAGGGTATCCTAAAGGTTCCTTTGCTTGAAAGCATAGGAACCAAAAATGCAGTGATCAGAGAACCAGTGGCAGATCCAGGCCGGGGTGGGACAAGGGGCCCCAAAATAAGAGAAAAGAGAAAGAGGGGAATGATTACTAAAAAAAAAATCTCAGGTCTAAGATGGTAGGCACTCGCACCACCCGCATTGGTTGTCGCGGGCCGCAAAACATTGTCATCTGGCAGTGCACTTTGCGCACATGGAGCCTGTAGTCGGATAGGCCTATACAAAAATATACAATTTTTGTGTAGAGGTAAAACCGGAATAAAATTCAGCAATTAATTTGCTTTTTTTTGTTTGTTAAGCAGGTTTTTAAATTTCACATTCACCAATTGTGTAGTATGGTACTTGTAGTTTGCATTCAAAGGATTTTTAGTAGGAAAAAAATGTTTTGATTACTTATTTTACACTATAATTCAGCTATTAAATGCTTAATTGAATATAGTATTTGATTGGGTATTGCCATCCTATTGAAATTAATCATTGTGGACCAAAACTACTTTATGACCACGTTTCTTTTTGTCTAGCGAGTTTCGTTTTTGGAAGATTATTACATTTAGCAAATACAGTATCATTCATTCGAAAATAGGAAGCTTTCGATTTGTGCGACGACGCGACTCTAGAACGGAATCACTCATGCATGACCGTCCTACATGGCGTCCTACCTTCTCTGCATACGTAGATTTGGCCAAATTGCGTTTCAGAATCTACTCGACGAGTTGAACTTAACGTTGTAGCATGCGCAGATGACTTTTAGTGACGTTATTACGTTCTACGTCCTACCTTCGTCGTGCAACGAAAGCTCCCCTATTCATTCATGCGACACCACCATTCATCCTTCACAAACCTCTCCCAGCACAACTTTACCCGTACACTCTAATAAAATACAAGAGACAAGTGCTACATTCCAGCATCTTTACTGAAAATAAAGGTATAGTCGACAAATGCACTGTTATTCTCCTCAATATATCCTTTAAATATAAAAACCCTTACACGATTTAACTACATAACGAGTCAAGATAATCGGTCTGATGAAAATTGTATAGCGCCCTCTAACATTCACAATCTTACTGATATTTTTATCAGCGACAAAAACGCGAAGTGCGTTGCACATATTATCACGTAGTGATATGATTAAACGACATAATGTTAAACGAAACTATCGTTATGAGAATTATATATATTTGTAGTTGTACATACAGTACATCTGAAATCAGAAAGGAATGTATTTAAGAGACAATTAAAATAAAGCAGATTATATTTAACTGTGAAAATGAACCTACTCCTTGATTATTCATGGTTATGATTATTCATGAGTATCTCATTAGGTAGGTTGGCCAGTCGGAGACGATAAAATCTTGGTTAAAATTTCAATTTAACATATAGACATTACACTGAAGCAATAGAGTATATCAAAAATTAGAATAGACATTACACAAAAATTAACCACAGATGGTATGAGTTTAGTAGAAACAAGCTGCTTAATTGAATACGTATTTGATTGGGTATTGCCATCCTATTGAAATAATTGTGGACCAAAACTGCTTTATGACCACGTTTTGTCTAACGAGTTGCGTTTTTGGAAGATTATTACATTTAGCAAATACAGTATCATTCATTCTATAACAGGAAGCTTTCGATTTGTGCGACGACGCGACCACCCTAGAACGGAATCACTCATGCATGACCATCCTACATGGCGTCCTACGTTCTCTGCATACGTAGATTTGGCCAAATTGCGTTCCAGAATCTACTCGACGAGGAGACCTTAACGTTGTAGCATGCGCAGATGACTTTTACTGACGTCATTACGTTCTACGTCCTACCGTCGTCGTGCAACGAATGCTCTCTATTCATTCATGACATCACCATTCGTCCTTCACAAACCTCTCCCAGCACAACTTTACCCGTACACTCTAATAAAATACAAGAGACGAGTGTTACATTCCAGCATCTTTACTGAAAATAAAGGTATAGTCGACAAATGCACTGTTATTCTCCTCAATATATCCTTTAAATATAAAAACCCTTACACGATTTAACTACATAACGAGTCAAGATAATCGGTCTGATGAAAATTGTATAGCGCCCTCTAACATTCACAATCTTACTGATATTTTTATCAGCGACAAAAACGCGAAGTGCGTTGCACATATTATCACGTAGTGATATGATTAAACGACATAATGTTAAACGAAACTATCGTTATGAGAATTATATATATTTGTAGTTGTACATACAGTACATCTGAAATCAGAAAGGAATGTATTTAAGAGACAATTAAAATAAAGCAGATTATATTTAACTGTGAAAATGAACCTACTCCTTGATTATTCATGGTTATGATTATTCATGAGTATCTCATTAGGTAGGTTGGCCAGTCGGAGACGATAAAATCTTGGTTAAAATTTCAATTTAACATATAGACATTACACTGAAGCAATAGAGTATATCAAAAATTAGAATAGACATTACACAAAAATTAACCACAGATGGTATGAGAGAGTTGTGATGGCAATAAAAAAATACTTCTTTGAAGCACAAATCGAGATGAATTTAAATTTGAATAAATCTATCAGATAGATACGTTTTGAGTTCATTATGCACAAAAGCAAAATTAAGCTTGAGTATCAGCCTCGTGTGAAAGCTTGAGGTTCATAGCTGAGCTGCATGAACTCGTACCCAGCAGGCGGTATATAGTACTCCCTCCGTGAGGGCAACATAAATTATATTTTCTTATGAAAAAAAAAACCCTGCTGTATGCCTGTATATAATCATGTGTTTATATAAGGTAATAATGTGATGTCATTATGACCATATATAGGCATGCCACAAAGTCAAACACAATTTTGATAGTCTCCACAAAAAATTATTGTATGCCCATATATAGTCACGATGTGCCTATATATGGTCATGGTGTGATGTCATCATGACCATATTTAGGCATATCACATGTTTTTGTCAAACAAAATTTGATAGTCTGGACAGATGCATATCTTTGTTTTAAAGGCACAATGCCACCCAAACCCTAATACAAACCTATAAATTGTTAAAATAAACTAAATCATGTAATTTTTATATTCAATAAATTATTAGCTTTCAACCCAAAATTGAAAGTGAATACATTTTCTTTGCCAATCAATATACTCCTATACAATAGTCTTTGCATATATCCTGTGTGTCTGTTGTGGTTTTTTTTTTTGTTCTAAATTAGCAAATCCACAATGATAATTGTTGAGGGTTTTTCTATTTTGTTGGGGGCAGTACATTTAATATTAATTATTGTTGTTTCTGATTTAAACAAATCCTGTTTTGTTTGTACATACATATATTTTCTAAGAAGAACCGTAAATAGAACAACAACATTATTGAATAAATTCACATATCACTAGGAACAATAAGACTTATCTCAGAAAACAATAATTCACAATTAAGATACTTTGAATAACCATTGAGATAGAAGGGATATAACAGTTAAACAAAAAAAAATTCCACACAAAATATAGCCAATAGGAATCAAGTATTCTTAAGACTGTCTATAGTTAGTAGCCAATCAACCATCAGTTATGCCTTTATGTGCAGTACAGCTTAGCAGTCAGCCAATTAACTAATATTTATGGGTAATATGCCATGTCTAGACTAACAAATTTAATTTGACAAAAACATGTGATATGCTTAAATATGGTAATGACGACATCACATCAGGACCATATATAGGCACATCATGACTATATATGGGCATACAACAGTTTTTTGTGATCATGACACCACATCATGACCATATATAGGCACATCATGACTATATATGGGCATACAACAGTTTTTTTTTTCTGAAGAAAATTTGGTAATGTGGACAAACCTTTATGGCTTGGCCAACTAATCACCTAATGCTATTCATTTGAGGGTTACTGGCTTTTAACCAATCAACAAACAGTATTCTTTGCATGAAATACATATGCAGTCATGAATAAATTAATATTCAGTTTTAGATCGAACTAAAGACTGAGTTTTGATAACAAAATATTTTACTGTAAACTGTGAAGTATTCATGTACTGTCCGCCAAAAGAGTAAAAATAAATTTTGCAAATTTACAAACATTTTAATACAAAAATCCTTGATTACCAGCGAATTTATAGGCCTATGCAAAAGAATATGTAAAGGTATTACCTTATTTAACTGTCCGTAAATTGGTTGGAAAATTTTTTTCTCATTAAAATGTTTCTTTGTGAGTTAAGTTACTTAAATATAAATATACAAGTTAGATTAATCAAATATGGAATTGAATTTCCTCATGGCAGATAGTGCATCTTGAAACACATTAAAAACATTTTGTGATTACATCCTAATTTTAAGTAGTGTACAATATGTTGTTTCCTGTCGTGAACAGTTTTCAGGACTAAATGCAGACAATACTTTAAGAGGACAAAACTTCCAAATTAAAGTAATTGCAAGATAAATATTATGAAAGGTTTAACATGGTGAATACATAAACAATTATTCTTGCTTTCGGTTATAAAAATAATAACAATAAAATAAATAATTATTACAACAATAATTTACTATTTACTTTTTATAAACAATAATAAAAAAAAATTATTGATGACCTTTTTTACTCCTCTCACCTAATAACTGATAAGGGTGAGGTCAACAACAGTGCATCTCGCCAACCTTTCAATTTCAGTTGGAATTCAGTTACTGGGTGTTGATTATTTTTTTAATAGTTTTTTAAATGTTTTGTTTTCTTGAAAAAATTAAGGAAACAGGAACAGACTTCATACCTGTTCATAAACTCAGTACAACAATTGTTTACATAGCTTATTATAATATAATACCCATTATAAATAATAATGGTATCAATGTGTCGCCATGTATGATATCACCTGTGACTTCATCACATGACCAATGACATCACATGTGACATCATCAATGACATCCTCTACAATATCATTTGTGATACCATTTATAAAAAGAATGAAATATTTGACATGATCTGTGACCATAGCCTTTTGTCTATATTTAACAGCATATAATTTTGAAAAATTTCTGCGTTACTCTTTTCTGCCAACGCCCCTTAGACAAAAGATTGTTCTGCCTATTTAAACGTTCACTCAGATGAACTCACAAGTCCCTGTCTTCAAGGTATCTATACTCAAATGTGAAGCCTTCTTTCTTGCGTTGTCCCCATTTCTCATAGTCAAAGTAGATATATGTTCCCTGCAAAATAAGTACAGTAGTATCAAGGCTCATATATGTAACAATATGCAAGTCTTAAGCCTCATTTGCATAAAGTCGTTTGCACAATTTCAATGTAATCATTACGCAACGGACCTCTCCAAGTGCCAATCAAACTTAACAACTGACCAATTAGAACTGGCCTGGAATACACACGTGTCCTACGAACAGAACACACGTTGTCCCACAAACACACGTGGGTGCGTATGCTTTTACGCTGTCGATTTATGGGACCTTAGCAAAAATAAGCAAAGGGTGACGATTAGCGGGATGGTCCATTGGGAAGGCTCCGCGATTAGACTGAACAATCAGCGTCAGCAAATACTGTTGGCTTTAGTGTGTAACCAATTTATGGTAACCAGGCTTTAGCGTAGCATATGAAAGGCTTGAAGTTTTTCACATCTTTACACTAGTCACTAAATAAAGTATGTTATATACATGAATGGATGGATTATTCTGTGTATAAACACCAAGGATAACCCACGGAAGTCTGAAGATGTACTCTCAGTGGGGAGTTAGTCTTCAGACTTCACGCTTTTCCAAAGCGAAAAGCGTGTACTGCATTCTTTACATGACACATGGGCCATAATGCACACAGGTCCAATGGCTTAAGCATCTCATCTGAAAGACGGTGCGCTTTCTTACATTTCGGCCCTCCAGCTGAAATACAAGGAGAGCTGCGATGGGAAGGGAAATTGAAAGAGATTTCCACGGTTCAGCGCGCACAGTGGCTACCAGCATTTTAGCCAACTGAGCTAAGCTGCTCTCATATACTCAAGCTTCCTAATGTAGTAATCAGTGCATTGTTATTGGTTAAGTTAAGTGTTATTATGGTTGGCGCCTTACCTGCTCGTATTCATCAGTTATTGTTTTTGGCTCTTCATGCCTTTGGAACCACATCATGTACTTTGTATGAAATCGCCAACTTTGCTTCTTTAATGCTTTTGCAGCTAAATACTGTGCTTTGGTTCCCTGGTGTAAACAAAACATGAATATTCATCAATTAAGATTTAAATACTTATATAAATATTCATTACCTATGACAGGCAAAAAATAAGAATATTGAAATAAATATCCATTAATTAAGATAGGCAAGAAATATGAATACTGTATATAAACTACTATAACTGAACATCAAAGCAAATCAGAATAGTATTAGTATAAAGATCCCTGGTTCTGAATTAATTTGTTTAAAGGGCCAAATGAGTTGAGCTAACGTGCCAAAGATAATATCAGAGTCATGAAGCAACTCGTTATGATGTCTTTGGTAATTCAAATTCTTTTTTTTTGTGCTACAAAATACTGGTTACTGCAAAAAAATTAAAATTCTGTAGCTTTAAGTAAAGAATACATATATTCTGTTTGCACTATATTTGGTTTGTGTATTAGCTGATGCAGGCGAATATGGGTATATATAGCACGAATAGGAAATAGATGTGATATACATAGGCTAGAAGTGCCAGCATGTTTAAAAGAGATTTCCTGTTTTCTTTTCTTTATTTCTTAAGTGAACCTGGATGCAAACTTTTAAAATAATGTTTCTACAATGTGTCTTAAGGGTTCATCAGTATTTCAAATGCATCAAAAGCCAAATCGAGCCAAATCTGGCCTGCAGGCCACCTATTAAGAACCATGGATGTGGATCAAGATCTCTCACCTCCTGATAATAAAAAATAAAAAACAGTGCTTCAGTTGAGAGCCTTGCGTAGAAATCCAATGAATCCATATGAGGGGGCATTGCTGGACAGTGATATGTGGGCGTTGGACATGGATTTCTCGGTAAGTAGTGTCTGCAAAACAAATAGACGTCATTATAACATTACAAATATCAAAGCAAATTGTAAGAAATTTTAAAAGGAAACAGGAACAAATTTAGAGAAAGTTGTATTATTTATTTACATAGCGCATTTTTTGCAGATACAAAGCGCTTCTTTCCCTGGTCGTTGGGTGCACATGCCTGTTTCAGGTGTATAAGCCGCACACCCCTAATTAGGACGCAAAATGTCGGGTTTTTTTTGTGTCGCCTGTTCCCATAATATTAAATTTTTAATTATTTTGAAACGCTGACATTATTTATGTTCAAATAAAGAAATTTAAACTTTATCGGCCGCTTATTAAACAACAAGAAACTGGAAGTTTTGCGTCACCTGTGCAAAAACCGACCTATTTTTAAGAGCCAAACCGTTCCCATAATATTAAGTTTTTAATTATTTTGAAACGTTGACATCATTTCCGTTCAAATAAAGAAATTTAAACTATATCGGCTGCTTATTAAACAACAAGAAACTGGAAGTGCGTGTATACTTCTGGCTAACTGCAATGAAATAACGTACCCTTACTCTAGGGAAATCTTCATTTCTCGCTAGGCTGCTGCATTGAATTTTCAACATCAGTTTAGTTTAAAAAAATCTAATACAATAAATTACTAGGAATCCTAGTACACCCCTCTAGTGATTATAATTACAAATACTAGGCACACAAACTAGTCCTACCCCAGGCTAATTAACTGGGCTAACATAGACCTAACCTAGACAGACGGCGCCTGATTTTCGCTGCGGTTCGCAATCTGGAATTTTTGAGAGTAGGTTGAGGACTGGTGTATAGGTCGCACCCCTAATTTCGGGGGAAGATCAACATACTGTATATTATTTCGAGTCTTGGATGGAGGGGTAATAAAGTTCTTGTGTATACTTTAATATTTATCCAAAAATGACTAATAAATACTACAGGTATGCAAAAATTCATAACCAACAGACGTTTAGAAATTAATTGAAGTTTGCTTGTTTACAAATATTCGACAAATTTGATGACGCCAGCGTCACATCCAGGCCATTGCAAATTGCTATTGCTTTACAGGACTGTTCCGCAACCTATGGTTTGCGACCCAATGTTTGGGTCGTGGCAACAATTTGATGGGTCCAAATCAGTTCAGATCGTGGAAATACAAACAAAAACACACAAAATCAAAATTATACTAAAGAAACGCGAGTAGAAGTGTGGCATATACGTGTACTTTAGTAATGCGTGCATTATTAATAGTTTCATTTGTAGGTATGAATGACAACTTAAAGTTTTAGTCTTGTTATTTTAATGTGTTTGGCTTTCAGACAAAAATTATAACAACATTTTTACTTTCCAATAACCCAATTACTCCTCTCAGCAAATTTAAGAATTTTAAAATTAAAACATAAAACTTATTGAAAGATTTGATAACATCGTGGTTCTCTTAAAGTAATTCAAAGTAACAATACTTTCATTTTTATGATATTTATTTTGTGGGTTATATGAACAATCTTTTATGAATGAAGTGGTATTTTTTAATTGGTTGACAAAAGAAATTCAGGATATAGATTTGGCCTTCGGGGTCCGATGGGTTGCGCCTGAGTGCTTGATATTTAATTTGGGGTGTGGGCTAAAAAGTGTGTGGAACAGGCCTTTATAGCACAGGAACAAAAAATAATGTTCTTTAACACTCTGCACGCCAAACACGGAGATCTCTGTATTTGGTAAGGCAACGGTTGACCGCCGCCAAACATGGAGATCTCCGTGTTTCAGGTTCTTTTTACAGAATCCGATAGATGGGGTATCTACCAACATGTACTAACAATTTGAACACTATATTTAATCTGGTTATTTAGTATTTCACTATTTGTTTGTTTACCTTAGCGTAGAGCGGTACTGATTTACTTTCACGAAATCGCGATTATCTCAGCTTCGTTGTGCGAAATTGCGTAAATCTCCAAAAGTGAGTCATTTTCATTTTACTGTTACAGGTTTCACAGTTTGTGATTAGAAGAAGGTGGTTGGTACCATTGTAAAGTTAAAATATTTGTAGTTCTTGTAGTATTCATTACATGTCAATCTGATCACATACGCAATCTCAATGAGCTTTTGAGAAAGTGTTAAAATTTGCTAAAAAGTCTGGCGGTGGCTAATATTATTTTTTTTTCAAACCCCTGGCGGTCAGAGTGTTAAACAAGATATAAGTGAAATCTCACCTTAGGCGTTCAGAGTCTGAAGGGTGAGGAAGGTGGTGGGCAGCTGCTTCCATCATTGCCAGTTGGTAGGCGTGGTCTTTGGAAAGGGGCTGGGGTCCCAGCGGAGTGACACCCAATAGAGCTGGTATTTTAGTTTCCTGTGTCTGTGGGGAACTGATTTCTTGCCTAGGAGTACTGTCGTATATTGCTGTAACTTGAAAGGAAAATAATTACAAAATTATAAATTAATTGTTGACAAGAGCAAAGAATAAGTGTGTATCAAAATATATTCATACATTTTTTATTCATTATTTTTAAATAAATGAAATTAAAATGAAACAAATGACTTATTAGAAATTCAAGTGTGTAAAGAAAGCTGTCATGAATTTAAAGTAAAATGAATACTATCAATTAATTCTCATAGAATTCACATACAAAAAATGCGGTCCCAAATACTGAAGCTGGTAATATCACATACCTCTATTTTCTGTTGGGATTTCTGGTGGCTGAATCTGGGTATCCAGGCCAGCATTCACAACTGCCTTTTGAGCAATTGTTTTCAGTTTCATAGAATTGTCCTCCTAATAAAATATCAAAAATGTATAATAATAATAATAATAATAGTAATAATAAATAATAATAATAATAATAATAATAATGTTATATTCATATAGTGCATACTGCATATTGCCCCTATACTCTTTACACAGAAATAACATAGGCCAACAGAGAAAATACAAATAATAAAAAAATAGTAACAATAAAATAATAACAATAATAAAAATAATAATTATAATAATTATAATAAAAAAAATAATAAATATAATAATAATAATTATCTTCACCAATCAATAATTATAATCTATAATAATAAATATAATAATAATTATCTTCATAATCAATAATTATAATAAATAATAAACAATAATAATATTGGCAATAAATATATTAAGAATAACAATAACAACAAATTATGAGGCTAAACTGCTTCTACTCCTAACACACAAGATGTGTTCAAACAAAATAATATTACAGTACAAGAAATGGACAAGCATGACTAGCTTGATTTAACTTTCAAAGAAATACAACAAAAAAGGAAGTTTTACTATAAAAAAAAATTAAATTAATATTTTAATTAATATATCAAATTACAAGTACACTGACCAAATATGGGATGGAACTCTTATAAATTAAGCAGAAAATATCCAGCTACACTTACATACAGATCAACCCACCCCTCTATTTTCTAAAGTTGGATGAATAATGCTCACCTTATTTGAGATTGTAGTAGGGGGGATAGGTCCATTCATCTGAACAGCACTTGGAGGTGTGGGCATAGTAGGCATATTGTTAATAACTCTCGTTGGTTCAATGTGTGGAACTTGTGTCTGTATTGGTGGTTGTGGCTGGGGTACCGTGATTGAGTTTGAAAGCCCCGTTACTGTCATACTGTTTCCATTATCTAGGTCGAACATTTCATGCTCTATATGTTGTTCACTTAATACAAAACCTAAATAATCAAAATGGAAGAAATATAAACAATTATTATCTTTATTTAATAATTATTAAATTCCACGTGCCAAAGACAAAACTACATCATTACCATCAATATATTTGAAATTCATAAATTATATAATTATCACATCACTGCTTTAACTAATCAATTAATTGACTAATAAATTAATTGATGATGGAAATTAAATAATGATAATCATCACCATCACTGCCAACATCATCATCATTATTATTAATATATATTCTTGATAAAATAAAATAATTATTATAAAAATTAATTTCTATCAGGGATAAAAATAATACAAATAAATTAAAATCACTAATAAATTAAAAGAACTGAGGATTCTTGTTTTATTTTTACATCATAAAAGGAAACACAATCACATAAATGTCATTGCAGCAATTAAATACTTGACTTATGTTTTTATTTAGTCAGTATTTTCAAATTGGATATTTTTCCCTACTGGTAAATATAACAAGCAAATAACATTTATTTTCCTGGAACAATCCCTTACCGCAAGAAGTAAATATATAGAAGTAAATATATATATATATATTATCTACGGTTGCCTCTCTCCACCCAGGAGTACAAGTGGGTACATGGTAGGTTCGAGAAGTTTTTATTTGTATATACATATATGTTTGCCGATGCAGTTTTTAGGTATATATATATATATATATAAATAAATATAGAGTTGCTGCATAGACAGATTTGTATATATAAAATAAGAAGTCAAACAAAGTTCTGTATCTGTCACAAAGTTCTGTATCTGAGACAGATACAGAACTTTAAATATATATTTAAATTAAACCACAGATATTTCACCAAAATAAAACAACAAAGCATAACAGGACAAATAGGCACCAAAACAAAGCAGAGCCAACACATTTTGCATTAAAGCTCCATCCACACTATCTTATGTGATAAAAGTGTGACCTGCCTATATATGGCCATGATGATGTCATGGGCACGATGATGTCATATGTCACCCACATACAGGCAAATCATATGATAGTGTAAACAGAGCTTAAAGAGATATAGAGCAATAATTCATAATATGGCCAATTGATAAAACAGACAACATTTCCCTGCTTGTCTTTCTTGTAGCTTAAGATTTTCATTTAGCAGCGGTGCAATTCTTCATGAAAATTACTTATTGCGTCAGTGGTTAATTTCATATTGCTCTTTTCTGCATGTGTATTGAACATAAGTGTTACCAATATAACATTCTTGATCTAAAGAAAAAGCCACTGCCAAAAGACAAAAATACACCCCTATCCATAATTACGCTTCTGGGGCAGATGCAATGTGGGGGTGGTGAAAGTACAATCACCCCCCCCTAAATTGTATTAAGAAAAATAATTGTTGTGCTGTTGATATGAAAATATACGAAATTAAATCTAGTCACATAATTCATTCAGAGTACAACTTCCGGGCACATAGCTGTCCATATTCTCTAAATGTTCGAACCTGAGCCCCCAACCATGGTTGGACTGACATGGTGTGGACACTCATGCACCCCCCTCCCCTACCACCAAACCCTGCATCTGCCCCAGTGCTTTCACTGTGAAATACAAGTAAGATACATAGAGGAGAATGAGAATTTTGATTGGTAGTTTTTGGTCCAACATGGTCCATGTGCATGTTTAACTTAAAACACACAGCTTTACACTATTCAAAAGAGTACAGGGGATTGTCTCCTGATGTGGGGTGTTGCTGCGCTACAGCTACTCCATACAACCAGCCCAAATGTAATGTATGTCTTTTAATTGAGATTTTTTACATTAAAAATACTGATAACAAAAAGGATAGAAGAGTTGCTTTTGTGTATAATTCCTTCCATCATAAAAATACACTAAAGAATGGAAGATTCCGGATTCAAATAAAGCAACAAATGACCAATCATAACATGTTATTAAATAACCATGATTATGGGCATGTCCTACAGATTATGCTGTGTAAGGGCCACACAATATAATGGGGAGGGAGGGATTGATATAGAGGTAAGGTCCATTTATATAATATACGGTAATGTACAGCAAATAAGATTTTTACAATGTTTAAACATTAAATAATACACACTACAGATCTAATCTCCAATAAAAAAAAAAGGGGGGGGGAGAGCACAAAGTAGAATGCCAGCATGCAGCAGAATTACCAAAAAAACTGGAAGCAAATTGAACAAGTAGATAGACATACAGATGCATACAGAAAATAATCAGAAGCAAAGAACCCAATAATGCTAGCAAATACAGGCAAGAATCCAGACGCTTTATGGAGCATGCACACTACTTTCAGTGAATGCACACCAGCTTATTCTGTTCACATCTACCAAGTCTGTCTCTTATACACATCTAGATGTGTATAAGAGACAGGAGCAGGAGCGATGTTGGGGGAGACAATTATGTAATGGGTGGTCTTGGTTCTGGACAATTTTTGAAATCTGGATTCATAGGGAATTATATTAAGTCTAGAGTGGATGAAAGTGTAGTCATTGGAAGAAGCAGATGGATCGAGAACTTTCGCAAATAGGTTTTCAATACATTTTTATTTATTATTATTACTATTATTGATATTATTTGCTGTTGCTACTGCTAAAGCTGCTATTGCTGCTGCTAGTTTTATTTATTATTATAAGGCTAATCTCCAATAAAAAAAAAAGGGGGGGGGAGAGCACAAAGTAGAATGCCAGCATGCAGCAGAATTACCAAAAAAACTGGAAGCAAATTGTACAAGTAGATAGACATACAGATGCATACAGAAAATAATCAGAAGCAAAGAACCCAATGATGCTAGCAAATACAGGCAAGAATCCAGACGCTTTATGGAGCATGCACACTACTTTCAGTGAATGCACACCAGCTTATTCTGTTCACATCTACCAAGTAGTCTGGACCAACAAGAGTAAGTTTACTTTCAATTGTTATTTCAGGTTTAATGTTGAATTAACAAGCATGGCTGTTTAATTTAAAGAAGTTTGACCTATACTACATAGTTGATGTGAACACAAATTACATGGTATGTAAATTTAAATTCTGCGAACCTTGGCCCCCATTGATATCAGGCCGAGCTTGCTGCGAAGGTATGGTGTTCACGTTGGTTGAGGGAGCAGGCGAGTTCGTGGATATTTGTAACGGTTGCTGTACCAATGGTTGCGATTGTGATTGTTGGCCTACTCGGCTAGGCCCTTGCGTCCCTGAATCAATAGGACAAAGAACGCTAAGCATAGACTAGAGTAGCGTTAATATGAGCAATGGCGTATCTAAGGAGCACGCTGGGGGCACTCCTCAATAAAAAAGCTCCCCTATTAATAATGTCTGAAGTCAAATTATCACGCTCAAGTAGTTACAAATCACCTTATGCGACCAAGCGCCCTTTCACTTAATCATCGCGCCCTTACCAGCTCCCACATTCCCAGTCTCCTAGATACGCCACTGGTTTTGGAGTGGAATCAGATGTATGAAAATGTGACTACTTTTCACTATAAATTTCCTTAGAATTCTAATAAAAGTTATAGCTTATAGTATATGAGTATTGCTGTAGACAGCTACATACTAAAATCGCGAATATTATTCTTTTCTTTTTTATTATTGTATCATATAATTTAGTTTATGATTATCAAATTATGCAACAGACATTGCCATCTAAATAACTACTCTGTAATTACAATCACCTTCAATGAAATTTATTAAAAAATCCACTGTTTAACTGTCCCTTCCACCAGACAATTTCTAACAAAATATTGAATAAAGAAATGTACTCATTTTTAATCAAACAAATGGCATGGAATACATAAAATCTGTGAAGTTTACAAATTATTAGCAACACTATTATCAGAGCAAAATATTATTACCATGGTCAAAAGTATGATACACTTGAGGGCACTCTAACATTCATAGTAGAGTGCTCTTCAAAACAGGAGAATTGAGGGCTACTTTGGTAAGAAAAAATCATACTAGATTTCAAATCTACTGGTGGTATTAAAAGTACAAATTCTAACAAATCACAAAGAAGCCTGATGTCATGTGACAGGATATGATGTCATACCTTGTTGCGTATTTTGCGAACTAGCTGCAACTGAATATGCTGGTCCCACGGGTGGTTGGGCTATTGTATGAGCTGAGGAATTGCTTCAGGAGAAAAGAAAAATATGTTTGCATTAAGCACTGTCCAGGCAATCAAATTTCAATTGACAAAAACATGCCAAAGACATACCTAAATATGGTCATGATGACATCACATCATGACCATATATAGGTACACCATGACTATATATGGGCATACAACAGTTTGTTTGCCAAAAAAAAGGTAATGGTACACTAAATGCAATTTTTACTATTGAGGATATCAAATATAAAGGTGGATGTGGAAAATCCTATAAAATATCACATTTGGCTAGTGCAAAAAATAAATTAATAAAAAAATGAAAAAATTATATAATTACACAGGCATCTATCCATCAGAATGTACACAAAAGATCACACTGAATTATGACAGGAAGAAACCACCAAAAACAATTACAGCCAACTAAGTGGTTCGTATTTTGTTATAATGGCCAATTAATTCATAATTATGTCACGCACATAGCTGTCCATAAACTGCTTATAGAAACTTCGTAAAATTTGGGTCGGTCTTGCATGGCCAACACAATAATTTTTTTTTGCCTTATGGTCTCAAATATGTATTTTTCTCTGTTTTATCCTTGAATGTTTTAACTTGATAACTTTCAGAATAAATAAATAAATATATATATATATATATATATATATAAATATATATATATATATAAAAAATAATCATATATATATATATATATATATATAAAATAATAATAGTAAATGAACTTACTTATTGGCTTTACTATTGGCATTTTTGGAAGTGTTTGGAACAATGGATGTTGCCTGACTAGATGACGATGAAGATGATGACGACAATGTCCGTACTCTAGAACCGTTGTTGTTTGAATTAGATGGTGACGGTGCGTTGTTCGTTTTTGCTACTGCTTTTCTCGGTGAAGGCTACATCAAAATAAACACACAAAAAAAACAACAAATTAGAAAGCATGAAATTGTATTTTTATATTCGAGAGGCTCGAATTTGGTGTATTTTTACAAAGTAGTATACTTTATATCATACTGTATCATATCATTTATTTCGTTGATACAACATATATAATACAAAGACAAACAAGATTATAAGAGACAAATATAAGTACTTTAAAAAAGTTTAAAAAGTCATGAAAAAAAAATGTGACAGGATTGGTCAAAGTAAAAGCAAGTTCACTGTCAGGGATATAAAAATAAAATTCAAATAAGTATGCAAAATTTAAAATTTTGTAAATAAAATAAAGTAAAAAGAACATAAAAAATTCATCATAAAAGTCATTGAACATGACAGTGGGTCCATGCGACATGGTTTACAGCTAATAGAAGTGGTTGGCGCATCGGTTGTGGCTTGGGACTCCCAACCAGGCGTTTGAAACTCTCGCTGTGCAAGTCCATTGTGTCCTTGGGCAAGGCATGTTATCTACGTTTGTCTCTCTCTACACGGGAGTAGAAATGGGTACCTGGTAGGATGTTGTAGCTTTGAATGTACTAGTTTTGTGTGCTATAAGTAGAGTATGACTATGTATACTCCCCAGGGAGCAGAGAAGGTTGCACTTAGTGTGCTGGTTTGCCATTGTATGTTATCCAGTGACCAGGAGTAATAACCCTCAGCGGCTCTGATAATATTATTTGGAATTGGCGCTAATATAAATATTCAAGCATTATTACCTCACTTTCTGTTGACCTATGTCGTTTCTTTTCTTCATCCCTTTCCTTGGAATGATTGACAATTGGTGAACTTGCTATTGGTGAAGAGCTTATCTCTGCATTTGCTAAAATCTCACCATCCTCTGGTGACGTTGCCAACGTGGACAGACCATCTGTTGATAACAATGCCAACATTAAACAATAGAGAGCTTTTAATTTGTTATCTCCGTCAGTGGCGTAACGCCTATGCACTCTCGTGTGGCGGTCTGCATTCCCCCCCCCCATTAAACAATAGAGAGCTTTTAATTTGTTATCTCCGTCAGTGGCGTAACGCCTATGCACTCTCGTGTGGCGGTCTGCATTCCCCCCCCCCACCCTTAGGGGTCCCAGGTCCCCCTAATCATACGGTCCTCGATCTGAGCACCCTGACCTATAAGGGCTAAATTTATTGATACTGCACAGCATAATGTGTCCCTGACATCGACTGTAGGACTTACTGTATATCATAGTATATCTAATGGTGGATTTAAATGAAGATAAAAAGAAAGTTCTATTCAAATTTTAAGTCTTTGAGTGCTATTTCCGGCCACCTGAAAGTGCCATAATCAAAAATTTTCTTACCTCAGCCCTAAACGCCACCACTGACGTATTTTTTGTTGTTAAAAACATTTAGAATACAAGGAAAAAAACATGATTAAAACACGAGTATATCTAAAAATGGAATTGGCGAACGGGACCCTATGGGCCACAAGTGCCAGAGGTCAAAGTGCCAAAGGCCAAAGGGCCCCCGGCCCCAGTGTTGTGCCACTGATCTCCATCGAGAACCAATCCGCAGAGAAAAGCGCATATGTTTATGTATGACGTCACCAGTTTAGCCATTCCGTACCATTCAATTAGCCACCGTGCCACTATGACCGAAGCGCATGCCATTGCCATAGAAACAGGTTGTGCTGCCACCAAAGGTTTGTTTCTAGAAGGTACGCAAAACGAAATAGCGAAAGCTCACTAATTTTTTTTAACAAGAACAGTAACAAGAACAGGAAACTTTCTCTGCGTATTGGTTCTCGAACAAGATAGCAAAAGCTCTCTAGTATTACAATTCATTCTTCATTCAAGGGCTTTTTATTGATAAAACACGTAAATTACATAAAATTCAATTCTAAAAATTACAATTATTATTTAGGTATAAAAAATACAGAATACGTCAGAAATTTCACAACAATGCAATGAACATTTAAAAGTGGTTTCACCCAGTGAATTTGAATGATAGTATTTTATATATTATAATTTGTAGTGTTGCATAAAATTGTGTCCAACTATTTTTGTCTGAATTTTGGCAGTGTGATTTGATATGGAATATTTTTAATTTTATGTATTTTTTTTTTTTGGAATGTACTGTATATATTTTTTATAACATTAAATATTATATATTTTATTAATATTAATTATATCTTTGTATTTGTTATTATACTGATGGTTTATATCATATTGATTTAGTTCCCTGCCTTTAAATCAGCTGTATAATTAATAAAACTAAAAGAATAGTAATAATATTTTAATTTTACTGAGCAATTATCTAGTTTGATAAATTTCAAAGTTATCTATACTGACTTTGATTGACAGATTTTATGTTTATTTTACTAAAATCAACTTCAGAGCAGAAGAGGATTTTGTGAAGCCAATATTTGTCAGCAGATTTCTTAACAGCTGCCTCTGACTTCTGGTTGTATATCATTATAGTGATTTAGTTTACTTTAAGATGTATTGTCCCATGCTAAATACCAAAAAAATCATAAAAACATTTTTTGAAATTACAGTAACTTGCCTATTTTGAAGTAAAATAAAAGTTATCAGCTTGAACATAGAAATTAGTGTATTTACAAAATGCCTACCTATCAGTTAACAGTGAAAAATGATAGAAACACTTCCAGACTCTGGAAGTGTTTCATTATTTTTATTATAATTTTTTGGTTTAAAAATCAGGGTACACATTTTTTAAATTCAATACTTTTCATGCACAAGTTAATAATTTGTATGCTACTGCAATATGAGCAAGTTTATTTCAAAATCATTTTTTTAATGATTTTTTTACATTAGCAAGGGACAATACATCTTTAACTTAGGTACCACACCCCTTGGATTCAGCTTTGTAATTGTTATTTTTGTAGCAATAAAGAAATAATATTTTAATTTACAGCAATTATCTGGTTTGAAATTACAATGATCAAGTTTTGGAAACCAACCAAAGCAAACTGAATCTGGCTGTTACTAGCAACGTCTATTGGTTAACCTATTGAGTTTTAAGTGTAAAATTCAGTTTTAAGAACTAACATGGGACAATCGTATCCTAGCTAGAATGTGTGCAAACAGTTTTTAGATACAAATGGCAAATAATAAAGAAAATAAGAGAAAATCAATCAAAAACACTTTCAACATTTGATAACCATCACCATCATTATCATCAGAAATGCTATTACCTTCACAGCGTGTAAGCTGTGGTGCAGCCTGTAAGGTGTTGGACTTTTAATCGTGAGATTGGGAGTTTGAGACCGATGCTCTTCTCTTTGCTTGTGACCTTAGGCAAGGCGCTTTACTTACGTTTTCCTCTTTCCACCCAGGAGTATAAATGGGTACCTGGTAGAATGGTATGGCACCCAATGTTTGGGTCGTGTGCATACAAGCAGCCATGACCAGAGATACTCCACAGGGAGCAGAATGCTGAGGGTTGCACAATGTGTGAATCTGAAAACTCATTATCTAGTGACCAGGGGAATAATGATACCAGCAGCCTTGTATATCGTCTTGTCTAACCTGCGGATTGTGATTTGCGCTATATAAATTCTGGTTCTAAAAAAAAAAAAAAAAAAAAACATCCAACAGGACTACACTCTCCACTTACAGGATGGAATGATCCTTTATAATCTAAGTCATGTTTATGACGTTTTTTAGTTATGAAAAAAAAATCCTGCATTGTCAGGATATGAACCCAGGACCCTGGGATTGGAAGTCATGCACCTTAACCACCAAGCCACAGCTGCACTTCACACTTGACACAGTGAAACAGTTTAAAGTAGAAGAGTGAGCATAGGATGAGTTCTTGGTTTAATTTCAGTAGTTTAGTTAGAGTACATCCTTAATAAATAGAGTGAACTTACAATCATGTTCTTCAAATTCAAAATCATCATAAAGATATTCATTCTCAGCAAAGTCAGGATCTTGGCAGGAATCTAAGTAATATTCCAAGTCTTCTTTAATTTGTTTAACCTGAAAAAAAAAGAAGAAAAAAATCAACAATAATAAACAAAGAAAAATCAACAGTGACAAATGAACTACCAGCTGAGGCCAAAAAAAAAAAAATTCTTGTGTTAGCCATGTTTTGGGAAAATCAGAAAAAATGGGAAGGTCGGTAAGAATTTTTTTTTTTAAAGCAATAAAGTGTTTATGCATAAAAGTAGAAAATACACAGAAATACAACAAAGACCATTAAATCTATATTAAAGAGCAAAACGATCGTATAACACTGTCGCATCGCCTACCGTCGTCGCCCTTTAGTTTATAAAAAAAATATTTTTTGTTGTCAAAAAAAAAATAAATAAATAAAAAAACTAAAATGCAGAACCTCAATTTCGTATATTTTGGGTCGGTCAGGCGTGGCCAACACAATAATTTTTTTTTTCCTTTATGGCCTTATTTGCCTTGAACCTATGTTATTATTTATTTCATTTTGATAAAATAATAAAATACTATTTAGTAAATCAGGAGAAAAAATAATTTTTAATTGCGGTCTATCCATTCAAATACTGAATGATGTTACTTTGATAAAATGGTTAACTTGGGCACAGATGACCTTTTGAATAATTAACACAGTAGAACTTCTCCCTTAGGACATACTCAATAAGGCGATACTCCTATCAAGAGGACACTTTTCGGCCACGAAAAATGAAAAAAAGTATATCTTTTACCACTACAACTAACCCCTATGTAGGGGACAAAATTTTTATTACGGAGACTTGCTTTTTTGGTCCCGAAGGTTTTACCTTAATATGGGTTCTAATCGTTTAATTACAATTAAGCATTATAAAAAAATTACTCAGGTGTGGTGCATTATATTACCTTCTCTGTTTCGATGTCTGTGTTGTCCAGCATTCTCATGATCATCTCCAGCTTCTTGACATGACCATTGTGTCTTTCTATTAAGTTTTGTAATTCATTCAGGCGATCTTGTTTCTAATTACGAAGAAATCAAACAATTAATCAAAATTTATAACAATACCAGATAGGTAATTACATACGTAACATAACTGGCCAAAATAAAGACAACGTTTTGTCCGATTGTTCTTCAGATTGGCTGTACACCAATGAACATTTGGGTGCCAAAAAGTATAAATTTAGGAGTAAACATGTAAACACATGCATTTGCTAAGCTTTGACTGCAGAGCAATGACTGCACTTGAGTTAGCACTCAAAGTATTCTTATAATGTAAAGAAACATATTAACATTCAAAAATGTAGTTATGGCGGATGGAGCAAACCCAGCCTTGAAGTTTACCATCAAGTCTAATGCTAATTTCATAGCCCTCCACCCAAGTTTAATAACCCTCCTGCCCATCTCAAAATCCACTCTTACTGTACTGGGGGCATCCAGAGGCTTAAATGCCTTTCACTCTACGTAGCTTTACAGCGTTTATCTGTGCTATAACTGGTGAACGACCTCCTCCTTATATAGTGAGGCTGGTCTTCGAAAACAAAATGTAAAAAAAAAAAAATAAAACCTGCAGTGTTTTTCGTTGTAGAAGTATTCAAAAGATAATCGTGTCCGGAAAAAAGAAATCTGCTAACAAGGTGAGAGGTGGTGCTGTTTCAAAATAGACCCGATAAAATGTTGTATAGCTACAACCCTAACTTTTAATAATTGGTACAGTATATGAAAAGCAGCACCATCAATGAATAAAGCCGCATTTTCACTAAGACACGATTACGACACGATACAGATGCGCACAGTGTTGAAGAATACAAACTACGCGATGATATGTCGTCGTCGTGTCGTAATCGTGTCTAGCGTAAATGTGGCTTAACAATAATTACTTACATCTGATGGGATTTTCCTTTTCTTTGAATTGGATGTCATGGATTCCATCTCGCTTTCAAACCGATCTACTTGAATCTTGAGCGTATCTATGCATTGGGACAACCAGCCGGACACCTCCTCCCGTTCCCGCTGGACAGGGTCAATGCGTGTCGCTAGCCCAAGACCTTCTTTTGAATATGCTTTTGTTTTTGTTTCTCTTTCTACCACCTTGAACCTTTCCATTTGCTATTCATATAAAAGTAAAATATTGGTTTTTACTATAAAGTAATGTTTATGTAAAACACAAGTTTCTTTGCAAACTTGTAATGCTAAAACTTATAAAATTGTAATTGTAGACATTATTATGCCACAACAAATTATAGTTTACTGGAAATGGCACTCTCAGACTTAAATTGAATATAATTTTCCATTTTTTTTTTAAATTTGGAAAACTTACGGGATTGGGGTCCCTTAAATCCGCCAATGATAAAATATTTACTGAATATAAATTGACTGACTGGTGGATGCAGGGAAAAAAATCAACTTTCTCAATATGGTCAAAATTATGGAAGCTATTTTTGGACATAAAATTTATCATGAAAAAACTGTTATACTCCTCTTTCATAATAAAGTATATTATGTTACTAACCGTTTCTATGAGCTTGCGATTGTCCAAAAGTGTCCTCTTGTCTTTGATGTCGTTCGAAGCCACCCATGTTTTAATTTGATCACGTAACCTCTGTAAAGATACAAAAGAGAAATCATGGATGAGAAATAGGCTCTAAAATTATCGAGACATATGAGACCCACTCTAGCAAAAACAGATTTGTCTCAAAAGCGACATTATTATAGTTCATTATAACTAGAGGCCAAAAGCTAATAAGTTGTTAAATGGTCAAGCACTATAGTACTTTGATGTCCTCTTACCTGCAGCTTTTTGATTTCTTTCTTTAGCTCCCCTTCACACTTGTCCTTCTGATTACTATTAGTTGCACTTTGAACCTGAAATAAAGTTGAATGCTTTTTTAATGAGAGTACAGTTTACAAAAACAAGTTGGAAGATTTGTAGGGCGTCAATAGAATAGTGAGAATCATTGCATGATGACAGGAGAGGACAAAGGAAATAGAAAGGGGATGCCCAAAAATAACATGAAAACTAATGATTTAGCAACAAGACAGGTTTGAATGGAGGTTTTCCAGAGAGCTACAGAAGTACAATATGTGGAGAAAATACACACTATCTCAAGTTCACAAAGCAATTCAATGCATTAATTTAATTTTTGGACAATAATTAAAATTGTCTTACGATAATGTATCATGGAACTAAATTTTGTTGTACAATACCGGTATTTGTTCCTACTTTATTAAGACAATCAAGTGACTTTCACCTCATAAACAGTATAAAATACTTTACAATAAAAATAATAAAAACATCAAGAGAAAATAGAGATCACAAATGATCTGATAAGCAAAATACTGTACATCATTATTATTAATATTATTATTATTAATAACAATAAAATTTTTGTTATATTACCTTCTGCCAAATATCTTCAAATGTTTCCACTCCTTCTGATACCTTCTTTAAGCACCTTTCAATTTCACCTTAAAAATCCCAAACAATTTTTATTTAATAATAATAATTTGCAATTTGTATAGCGCCTCCCGTTGGACCAACCTCGAGACGCTTGACAACAACGGAAGGAAATGGACAAGAAAAATAACCACAAACCTAGACTAACAGCACTCTAGACGCCTAACCGAACCAAACCAACAACGCACCGTTTATCGGCAATTTAGGGCGCGAAGCCCGCCGATGCATGACTCACAGGTGCTCAAGTGATGGCGGTGTCTAGCTAAACAGTTAATGGGAAAAGGAAGAATAAATAAACAAAATAGTGGTAAAAGGTGTCTTAAAGAAATTCTGTAAAAGTGTCTTAAAGGAATTCAGCAAAATTATTTATATTATTCACCATAAATAAAACCAATTTTATTTTTGATCAAAATTTAATGATAAAAATGTTTAAAGTGTCGCTTTGAGAAACAACGACTCACAAATAAGCCCCGAGCCAAACAATTATGTTTTTGAACTACTGTAAACAAGAGTGTGGTTAAGAGAATGTCTTTATTTGACCCCATGTCATATTCGATTCTGAATTTAATTCATGTAGGCCATACTGTAAAGTATTTTTAATTGTGCGGATGATACAGTAGATCAAAATTAGATCAAATTTTCGCGGAAAATCGCTAGAAAAATACTACATGGCTATACAGTAGACCTACAGTATTAACAGATAGTTCAAGGTCTTATTAAATTTGTTTTCTCATTTTAGCTAAACAGTTAATGGGAAAAGGAAGAATAAATAAACAAAATAGTGGTAAAAAGTGTCTTAAAGAAATTCAGTAAAAGTGTCTTGAATTCAGCAAAATTATTTATATTATTCACTATAAAAAAAAACCAATTTTATTTTTAATAAAAATTTAATAAAAATGTGTTTAAGGTGTCGCTTTGAGAAAGAACGAAAGAACGAAAATCGCTAGGAAAATACAGACTTTACACGGCTATACAGTACAGTACTAATACAGTAGTTCAAGGTCTTATTAAATTTGTTTTCTCATTCTAGCTAAACAGCTAATGAGAAAAGAAAGAATAAACAAATAAAATAGTGGTAAAAAGTGTCTTAAAGAAATTCAGTATGTGTCTTGAAGGAATTCAGCAAAATTATTTATATTATTCACTATTCATTTTTCTCATTTTCCAAAACAAAGTGGACAGATATTGATATGGCCAAATAACATTTAAATCTGCTGCCTTGCTTCCTTGAAACAAATTACCTTCATGACATTTAAATCTCAACCCAAAAATTCATCTCTTTACCAGCTTGCCTTATAATCTTAACACACTGTACACTGCACCTTTGGTCATTTTTCTTGGAATTGGCACATTACAAGTTTTTTATTCATTAGTCGAGACTTTTTTAATAACTTGTTTCACGAACTTATTTTTTTCAAATCGTACTGTAAGAGGACGAAAAAAAAAAAAAAAATAAATTCTGTGTTATTATTTAGTAAATAGTTTTGCCAAAAACATGCAGACGGAGGAGAAAATAAAAATAAAATTTTATTGGTGAATGTAAAAAAAAAAATCAGTTTTAATGGGATGATTAAATACTTTAAATTATATAATTTAGGAAGAAATACACATATTCTATTTTTAGAGATTTTAAAGCTGCAGTGGGTGTAATAAAAATTTTTAAAAGCCATTTTTTCCCCCTGAAATTTACTTAATTTTGTGGCTAATTGGCCAAAAATAAAATTTTAGTTTTATACGAAATCATCATTATTGGCAGGACGTGGGTTCCCTAAACCAGGGTATATAAAAAGTTTCATCTTAAACTTAATTTTGGTGTGAAGAATATATTCCTTGCGCAGATCATGTTTTACTGTACAGTCTGGCATGTAGGTTGTTTTCATATAATCTTTCATAAAATAAAGCAATCACCAATGCCTTTCATTTCCCATACAGTATTTTCATTTAAGTAGGTCGCTTTCATAAAATTTTCCATAAAATAAAGCGATCATCAAAGCCTGTGATTCTCTGTATATTTTTTGCGTGGGGAGCCGGTGGTATACTTGCTGCCAAATCGTGGAACACTGATGTAGCTTTATGTTTATCAAGTAATGCAAGTTGGCCACCAGGATTCATCTTGGCGATACCATTCAAAAAGTGGGTGGTATGAAATGTGTGTTGGGTATTATATTGTGTGTAAAGGCCAACTCAGACAGCATCGGCCGACGCAGCCCGACCCGATTTATCGTCGGGGACAGACAGTCTTAAGCCGTCGTGAGAAATATTAAACATGTTTAATATTCTAAGACGTGACTGCCCCCGACGCACACCATCGCGTCTGCGTTTAACTCACGCAGACGCGACAACAAATCGCGTCGGGCTGCATCGTACAACGCTGTCTGAGTTGGCCTTAAGTGTCTACAGTAGGTAGTGTAATGTATCTATGCATATTTTAATGTTTTATTTCAGTTATAATTATTAATCATTATGTCTATAATAATTATGTGTCTGTGTAGGCCTATTTTAGTATTAGGTATTATTTATTGATTATTATGTCTAATTTTATGTGTCTGTGTTGGCCTAAGTGTTTTAGTGTATTATTTCAGTATTATTTATTGGTTATTTGTTGTGTATTTATGTGTCTCTGTCACCCTATTTATTCAGTTATATAATATGTCACTTATTTTTTGATTATTATATATGTCTGTATACATTGTAGACCTATCTTGAAAATTATAAATGAAATGATACGGTAATGCAAAAATAAGTAAAGATACTGTATGTTTAATTCATTTTAAATAGCACTAAATTTAATTTTAAGCTTTTATTTATATATATATATTGTTTATAATGTAATTGTTGTCAATTGTATTTTATTTAAATATGTTTAGTATTTTTTAATCTGTTGTACCCAGGCCCAAAGTCAGACCAGTCTACTTGACTCGCAGTCATAATCACATAATTAGACATAATTATTAATTATAACTAAAATTAAACACTGAAATCAGGGCCTACGCAGACACATAATTACACATACAACAGCCAAGAAATAATATTAAATAATAAACGGCACATATACATGCTACTTGACCCGCTTATATGCATTGCAAACAGTGCAAGCATTCTACAGAGTTCTCTCTAAACTCTGTAAATTTAGAGTTGCATGACATGTGAACATTCAATTCTAATGAAAGTAAAGAACATTGGAATATTTATTTTTAAGTTTTATTTCTTCCACAAAGAAACTTCATACATAAAAAAAAAAACAATATCAGAACATTATCATCATATGATTGGTTTAAAATGATTCAAAATATCATGTAACATGGAAAACAGTATAATCTTTCACAAACAAATCACACTATCACTAAGCTAGGCCTAACCAAGCACAGGCCTGGGTAAGCACAAAACATCACTGGGCTAGGCTAGGCTAGGCCTAGGCTTACTATACTAACCACATAGGGCCTAGGCCTGGCCTAGCTAGCCTGGGGGCCTAGGCTTCATGGTACCAGACTATTGAAACTAATGAAATGGCCGTATATCCTACCTTGTAACTTCCTCTTATCACCCATTATGCCATGTACGATATTAGAATATAAGGCCTCCTTGGTTCCCGGCACTTGTTAAACAAACAAGTGAATAAATGAATTAACGTTTAACGTTTTGTTCTGCCACATAAAAATATTAGAATTTACAGAAAAATTAGTGGAGCATCACAACGACCATCGTTGTATTCATCCGCCGATGAATTGTTCTCAAATTTTGCTATTATTTGCATACGGGTAACTTTTTGACGTAAAAACAATAAATAGGATGGAACATAATTCTTAGCTTTCTTAAGAATGAAATTAAAATTTAACGTGTGTTTTTTAAACCAATCTAACTACTTCCATTAATTTTGCGGATTGATACAGTATGGGCTTATTAGCGTTTTATATTATGGGATATATTTTTAACACCGCCACAGTTTATATTGGAAATATAATGCAAATGGAGGATGTTTAAAGCGGCTTGGTTCAAAATTTCATAATGACACTAATATTATTTCAAAACACTGTATATTCATTTCAGTACGACCATTCATATTATGATTAATGAAGCTAGGCATAGCATAATAAATGAAGTTTCGCTATTGTGTTTACTATACTAATACTAGGGAAATGTTTTTGTCGGATCCTCTGAAATGACATAACTTAGAAAATCAAACAAAATGCATCTTCATTCAATTTTAGTTAAGCCTAGGCCTAGTTATTTTATTATAGTTTTGTGGTTCTGTTAGTTTGTGATAAACTCTATTAATTTTTTGCTGTCATAAATTCTCCTATTTCTTCGCCATTATTAGTAAAATACGAAAACCATTACTGTACTAGCCGACCTATGTTTGTGTCTCTGCTGGATACAATATTGAACTGCTGTGGCACGGTGGTATGGAAGCAGAAAGAAGACCGAGCAGAATGATTACCAACAACAGAGCGAAGCTGAGTTTTGTAAAAATATTTTGAATTAGCAACAAATTTTTCTTCATTTTATAATTACGGTATGTTGATTCATGTTATTATTTGTCATTTTGCAACGTATTAACTTATAATCAGCCTAGCCTCGGTCAGGCCCTTAGAGGCTTGCCTAGCTAGGAAGGAGTAGGACTAGGCCTAGGCCCCTAGGTGGGCTATCTAGGAATAGCCTATGCAGACTAGGCTAGGCTAGGACGGATACTGTCTAACTCCTTCCCATCCCAACTCGTAATGAAATTTTGGTGAACTCGTACCCATACTTTTGACTAACTCGTCCTACCCATATTTGGCCATCCCGTACCTTTGTATTTCAAACATTATGCAAGTAAGTACTATTTTATCTATTTTGATTGGAATCATGTTAAACTAAAATAATTATTAAAGACAAACTTAACTAATTTAATTTGAAGATTTTGAACAGCAGGAATGAAAATTTATAATAATAAACTCATGATTGCTGTCAAACTATAATTAGTATTTTACTACTGTGTTATTGCAGTAGTGACCTAGTGAATAGTGTTAGAGCCGTAAAAAGCCACTTAGGGCCTAGACCTATATATTTGCGAAGTTTGTTTAGTTGCACGGATGGTACCTTAAAAAATAGCCTAAATTTCCGTAGAAAATAGCTGCGAATAATACATTGGTTAATATTAAGATAAAGATTATGTCAAAGTCCTCATTTTCGGCAAAATCCGTGCGGAATTTGGCCCATGTTTTTTGAAAGGCGCAGCGGATTTCTAGGCCAGATTTTTGTGTGGAGGGATGATATGTTCCCTGCGCAGGCTTTACTTTACAGTCTTCAATTCATTAATTGTTTACAAACAATTTATTTTATGCTAGGCCTAGTGAATGATGTAATGGATCTCAGCTTGACAGGCTCACAAATAGCATCTCAGAGGAAGAGACCAAGCTCAGCTGGACGTACCCGACCTGGTTCAGCAGGAGGAGGAAGCCAGCCTAGCTCTAGCAGGTCAAACACTTCAGCAAGACGCAGCTCAGATCACAAGCTGAAAGTGAGCCCAAGTGGAGATAGGAAGACAGGCCTCAGCAATGGCTACACTACTGGGTCCAATAGTGCTGGTGGTGCACGGCCTAAACATAGGAGAGGTATATTCTATATGTGGCAAAGACCAGCCAAACCAGTCACTTGTCGCAAAAATTGATATTTAGTTATTAATACAGAGTTAAGCAGTAAAATGAGAGCTGTAAAATGGTAAAAAGAGTAATTTAAATCTGACATTCCATTATGAAGTTACAGGAGTTTCAACATACAGCTGTTTAAAGAACAATATTTAAGAAATCAGCCTTCAAAGTTTATAATTTTGGGCATTTCTCACCAACCATCGCCAAATCATTAAAAATTGTTGTTTTAACATTGAAATTGGGGAAAATAACAGCATAGCACCATATATATAGATATATAAAGGTTAGTTTAGTGACATAATAAAGTAGATTTCAAAACTGTAGACATTCCAGCATGTTTTGGCCATTATCTCTGAAACTGGATTTGTGATGAGCAACTGGTTTGGCTAGTCTTTACCACATATATTGAACTATTTTTGGTACTTTTATTTCTAATTTCTATTTAACATGTTTAGTAGCAAGTTCCTCTTCTTTCACAAAGTCACAATATGAGAGACTGAGGAAGTGGAATTATTTTTAATCCTTTAAAAAAAATCATAATTATAAATAAATATATTGAAATTTTAATATCAACTGTTAATATCATCTTTATGATAATAAAATTATAATAAAAATTGTAAAATATATCTTTGCGATAATTTATTTTTTTTTGTTCCTTTCAAAGCAACTAGCAATAACTTTGAATTGTCAAGTCATCGCAGTGTTGCCAGCGATGTTTCTAGCCCAGGGAGACCATTGAGAAAATCACCAGTATCAAATAGGTAATGTGCAATCAATCAATCAATTAATCTATCAATCAACAAACATACATTTGTATAGTGCCAATATCCACAGCATACAGTAATGGACTCTTCAGTCAAGGATATAGTTATGGTGGGCGGAGATGGGCGGGGCCAACCAGCCCTGAAGTTTTCCACCCATTCTAAAGCTAATTTCATGGCCTTCCACCCATCCTTATTAACACACTTTTATTTCCTTAAAATCCACATCATTGCATAAAATAGCAAACAAGGTAGTCTGAGATTACAAACCCTCACCTTTTTGCGCCATATCTGTGTACTGAAAAAAATAATGGCCCTCGGCCTAGTCAAATGAGGTCTAACTATCCGCTCGAGTTGGCTCTGTCTGTTGCAACCAGAAAATATATAGATAACATTCTAAAATCTGCATCTAACTTCCGATCAGCACCAAATTTGAGGAGGACCTAGATACATGTAACATTGTCAATGTGTGAAAATTTAATGTAAAACGGTCCAGTAGTATTTTACTTATGCACCTGTAAGTACAGACTCACCACACACAGACAGACCGACAGACAGACAGACAGACGTGTGCCATTGCAATCAATTAAACATCTGAAATTAATTAATTAATTAATTAATTTATCTATTTATTTATTCTCAATATTTTACCAAGGTGGCTCAATCAGTCAAAGAGACTGGTCTCCCTTGCGGCCCTGGGTACAAAATATTTTTAGACAACAAAAACTTAACTAAAAATTTACACATTTACGTACATACAATAAAAAATAATTGATCTTACACTAATGATGCCTTAAAGTTGCTTTTAAAAACATTTAAATTACTTGATGACTTTGTTACATCATTTAAAGTGTTGAACAGATTTGCACCTTGCCATTTAAAAGAATGCTTATAATATTCAGTTTTACCTTTGTCAAGTGAAAGTGATTTGCAACTATTTCTTGTAAAGTGATTATGATTTTCATTAGTAAGTTTGAAATATATTTGTTAATAAGCATTCCCTTTGTATTTTAGACTTTGGAATCCACATATTCCTTTGTGAGGCTTGAGCTAGCCTAGTAAACAATCGTTTTTGTATTATTTCTGTTCGTAGCAATGATGATTTCCTTGCACTGTTCAACTCAAGTCACAAGCCTATTATCCAGAAACCAAGAAAGCTGGACAAATCCTCAAGCAAAAAGGCATCAGGTGACTTGGTGAGTCATTGCATAATGGACGTCCCCAGACTATCAATCAAACTTAGCAACTGACCAATCAGAATGGGTCATATGAACACACACCCTATCCCACAAATACACATGTTTTCATATGTTGACACTGTCAGTCATTCTGTGGGATCATAGCAACAATATTCAAGGGGTGGGGCTTAACACCTGTCCAAACTATCAAAGTTAAATATGCTTAAATATGGTCATGATATGACCATATATAGACACATCATGACTATATATGGCATACAACAGTTTTTTGTCCAATAAAAGTGTATAGTGCAGACAGAACTTTTAGTGAAACCGGGGCAACGTATAGGGTACCACAGTCGTGTCGTCACAACACCAGGTGGCACCCTCTGGACGTTGGTTGCCGTTCAATTACGCCTGGATGACTTCATAATCTTAATGGTTTAGAATAGGCTTTCTGGAATAGGCATTTTAAAACCTAATAATTTACTATCAAAATGTACTAAAAACACAAAAAGCTCGCATTATATTAGTAATATCAAACACACATTTAATCATCAATTAACATTTACAAACATAAATTAAGATACAACTTCTTAATAATTACGTAAGAAATTGGGATCAATGGTTTGTCGGTGGAGAAACTGGCGTCGGTTGAACGCAACGTAGTAGCATCACATGGTATCGTGACGTAACACTGTAGTAATCTATAGCACAACAGTCTTTTGTAGTTGAGCCGTAGATTGCTAAGTGTGCTTACTTAACAAAACCACAATCCATTTTTGCAAATGAACATTTTTTTAATTTCTGTTGCAATCTTCCTCCGCCACTATCACAATTTGGAACATGGCTGAGCACTTCATGCCCACTACTTAAATCAACGTCACATCCTAAGCCTAATAATGAGCTTGGAGTACGTTAACCAGGCATTTTTAAATGACTGTCACACACCCAAAGGCCATAAAAAAATATATTGTGTTGGCCATGTTTTGGAAAAATCCAAAAAATGAGTAGGTCGGTAGGAAAAGATTTTTCGTTTTGTTTTATTTTTTTTTTACCAAAAATTGTTTATGCCTACAAAGTAGAAAATACACAAAAATACAACAAAGACCATTTTAAAATCTATATTGAAGAGCAAAATGATCGCATAACACTGTCGCATCGCCTAACATTGCAAGATAGGCCTATTCCAGCCTTTTTAGCTCGTAAAAAAAAAATCTTTTTCGATGTAAAGAAAAAGAACTAATATACCAACTCTCAGTTTCAAACATTTTTGGTCAGTCAGACGTGGCCAACACAATAATTTTTTTTGTTTGCCCTAATTAAAGGTACTACAGTGGTTTTAACAAAAGACCAGAAAATTGAAATATTGCACCTATCGCTAATGTCAATCTGATTTTGTTGTTTGTTACAGACCTCTGCCAGAGCATTCCAGATTCCATCCAGTGCCAGAAGTAGCAGCACTATCGATTCATTTCAATTAAACACAGACCGGCACGACATGCCTGAACAACTGAATAGTCTTGTGAATTCAGAACACCGACATCCTGTCAAGGTGGCTGCCACCTTCACTACGACGACAAACATTTTACGCGATTCGCAAACCAACTTGAAAAACTCTAACCAGAATCCATCTTCTCAGGTAACAAGCAATAACCATCACAATGGACTTTCTAGGAGGCCTCCAAGCCCTCTCAGAAGTTCACAGAATTCATTGCAGCTCAGCCCAAGAGATGAGAGTCGAGCTACGCAAGTATCATTGCAGAAATCCAACTCAATCAACAATTTCCCTCCACCTGTCAATCAGGACGTTGCCGAGGAGTACATAGCAACGGTAAACAAAGCAGCGTGCACAATACAGAGATCTTTCAGGAAGCACTTGCAGAACAAGAAGTCTGGAGAGGATGAAATTCGGCGACTGCTGGGCCAGAAGAAACAGCAACGACAGAAAGCAATGATGCAGGAACAGAGCTCCATGGAAGAGGAACAGAGGGCAGAGTTCATGAAACAAAGAAGACGAGATGAGAAAGCTAGGTTGGCGAGGCAGGAGGCCATCAAAGTAGGTATACATAGAACACAAGGATTACTTAAATATTCAGACAATTAAAAATATTTATATTATTTATTACGTATTTATACTATATAGGATTTCTTTAGCGCACATATCCACTAAACTGCTCAAGGCAGTGTTTTTCCCTCGTCATTGGTTACAGAATCAAGCATACACAATGTTCAACCTCCTTCGTTTTCTGTAGAGTATTCCTAGTTATGCGTGTAATCCGCACTACTAATTATTCTGAATCATTCACCTCCTACCATGTGCCCATTTATACTCCTGGGTGAAGGAATGAAGTGTCTTGCCTTAAAGATACAAGCAGTGTGACAAGCATCAGTCTAGAAGTCCAACTCTTTACATGCTGCGCCTCATGCTAAGAAAGTAGGTAGTCCTATGTTCATTATTGAATGTAGAAGAATGAGCTGTAAAGTTTGGACATTAAGTTGGACAGTGCCTTTGCATACTGCCATCTAACGTCCTCATTATATTTCAACCAGTTACTCTTTTACAGCTGACTGAACTGAGAGGTGTGTTTGTCAGGAATTGAACCTGGATAATTAGAATGATGGGCAAGTGTTCTAACTACCATGACTCCTATTAGAATAATTTTCTTTCATCAGGAATTGCAAAAGAAAAGACAACAGAGGCAAGAAGATATCAAGAAAATGGCAGAGGATGAAATAAAATTTCTACAAAAAAGCGGAAAAGTATCCAAAGCGCCAGTTGGGAAAGCACGTCCTCGTGCATCCAGTACAAGTGGTAGGACATCAAAAGCTCGAACTGATGCTGGCCTGAGTTCAAAAACACCTGCAATGGACAAATCTGAAGGCAGTGCTGGTAAAGTACCTTTGCTTGACCGGCCGGCAACTGCCAGCAGTGTTGGTAGACGTGTGGATGAAATTTTTGAGGTTCGTATTAAGTGTCCTAAATCTTTGTGGTGTTGAACATGTTATTATTATTATGCTTATGATTATCATTGTTTTTATTTAGATTATATTTGATATTATAATTTTTAAGTGAATTATTACTAATATTAATATTCTGTTATATATATTTTGGTATTTTTATATATCCCTAAAATTTATTTTAGCATAAGCTTACATAAATATTTTAGTTTATGAGTTAACAATGACTGCTAATTCAAACAACACACCAGGATTTTTTATACCAAAATTGCTTTTTTACAGTTAGAATCATGTTCTGTTTTCCAGGAGTCAACGACTCATCGGTCACAAACAACACATGAAAACGCAGACACGGATGTGGGAAGCGAAGCAAAGACTAAAACCACACTCACCGACCTACTGGATACCCTGAAGTTGTTAGAGGAGCCAGTGAGTGGTCCAACACCCAGAGAGGAAACGGAAAAGAAGAAAGGACCAGCATGGTGTAAGTCTAAAATCTACATCCACACTGATAGGTTTACACCATTACATAATGCATGTGATTTTCCTTTTACCTTGAACTTGCTTTTTACTTGCCCTTGCCCTGTGTCAACGGCAGTCATACAATCTATATATTAATTCCGTTATGCCTTGTTGTCACCTATCTCCTCTGAAACAGCATTTCCCATACACAGGATTTCTATTGGTTCCATACCTATTCTTTTCTTATAAAAGGCTATAAATTATTTATCGGGTTGTGTTAAGATAGCGAAAAATGAAGTTTAGGTTCAAGTCAGCTTCGCCAATCAGCACCTCAGATTTACTTTAATCCATCGGAACATTATCCACAGCCTATTTTGTTAGTTATAGGATTATCCACCTACTTCAATCATAATTAAAAATATTTATCTTATGTCCGACTATATATGTTGCATTTTCACATGCAAGGGGTTACTGTACTCCAGTGTATTATCAAAATGGACAATTCATCACTAGGATAATTCGGCTGGGACACTCACACAAAGCATTATCTACAAAGCGATCCTTTAGAAAAAATAATGAAAAGGTAACTATAGCTTCCTCAATGATGCCTCCTCAACTTCCCATCAATATTTAAGTATATGCCTCGCCACCTTTTCGCACTTGGTTAACACCGTGCAGAGCACAGGTATATGCTAGTACTATATTAATTGTTGTCTAATAAGCGCCAAAAGATCTGCTGTCAGGTCTTTTCTAACAAAGTGGGTATTTATACCAGAATCAGATATGAATTGTTTGGTTTTTGTACCTTTTTACAGTGGACATCTTTGATAAGGACGAACAGGCTGACGCTGAGGAGATAGCAGCAGAATATGAAAGTCATAGCCAAGAGGAAGGGTCAAATCTTCATATAGGGGATAAAGAAGTCTACCTGTCAGCTGAAAATTTACATGATTTCCAGCACTTTAGTGGTCATACGGACCCCAAGCCCAAGCCAAGTAGTCAACAGCCTACAAAGGCTACCAAGAATGCCCTTCTCACAGAAGATAAGCTAAGGTACACTTCCTTCCATGATTTTATTTATATTATTTTTATCAAAAATTTCTTTCCAAAAACACAAGAAAAATATTATACAACTACAAAACACAATAAAACCAGAGCTGTTGAAAATGAAAAGCAGGGGATAGCTCTATAAGCCAGAGGCTTGTTTCCATGGATGTCTCTTTATATACAGAAAAATTGACATACAAAGTCAATTTGATTTTTTTTTTCATTTTTAAGAAGCATAATGACATTTCTGGATGAAGTTGAGAAGACTGATCAAGACACAGTCACAGATTTTGGCCAGGTAATAATGAATTTCCTTCCATTATTCAAAATATGTTTTCTCTTAGCATCACACAGAAATTACACTTATTGTGATTGTGACCATCACATTGCCATGTGATGGTCTTTTCAGTAGAGGTCATTGTGAAGGATTGTAGAATCCATAATTAGTACATCCACTTAATTTCTCCAGAATTTATATTTGTTCAAAAGCAATGAATGGTTGTTTCCCAATAGTCCAGGAAGACAACCCCACGGACCAGCCAATCATTGGCCTTTGTTCCATCGGCAGAAGACATCAGTAAGATGGAGGAGGCATCAGCAGCAGCATCAGAGATCGCCAACACTGTGCTCACGCAGAAACTGCAACTGGAGGAGAAAGAGAGGTCTTTGAAAATGCTTCAGAAGTCCTTGGTAAATTTGCTAACCAACGTATTGTGTGTGATGAGATATGCATAATAATAGTGATGGCGATGATGATGAAGATGATAAAAATGATAATGAACATCATTATCATGATGATGAAAAGAAGATGAGGATGACAATGCTGGTAATCAGGATGATGGCCTCAATGTTGATTATAAAATGATAACAATGATACTTGAGTTTTGCTGTCTCTTTTGCAAGAGTACATTTAGCTGCCATTGGCTGGTGTAATGATAATGTGATGATCATAATGGAGATGATGATAATAATAATAATAATAGTATGAATTTAATGAAGGTAATTGAAGATAGTAGTCGTACTGAGGATGTTAATGATTTTGGTGGTGATGGTGGTAGTATGTATGGGGAGGAGGATGAAAAAATTGAGGAGGAAGAAGATGATGATGGCATAGGAACATAGTAGTGGTACTGATATTATTAGTGACTTACCTTGTTGCAATTATGACACCGTTATCTTTGTAGAGTCAACAGCGTGAGCTTACAGTTCGCCATGCTAAGGAGCAAGATAAGGAGATGAAGAGAAGAGTGAATCATCAAAAGGAAGAATATGAAAGCACAATAAAGAGGCATTTGTCATTTATTGATCAGGTACAGTACTCCTCATCAGGCAATAGGAGCTTTCGGTTTGCACGATGGCGTAATGCTGGAACTGATTCATTTTTCTGTGACCGTCCTATGTGCTCTGCACAAGATGGATTCTGGCCAAACTGCATAATAGAATCCAGATGACAACAAAAACTCAATGTTCTCGCGTGCGCAGATGACATCATTACATGTTGTACGTCCTACCTTCCTAGTGCAATGGAAAGTTCCCTATTATGTATGTTATGAAGTAACTTTGTCTTGGAAAGCTGCTTAGCTCAGTCAGCTGAACTAGTGGTAGCCATTGTTGTGTGCACTAAACTGCAGGGATCCATTATTAACCTTTAGCACCTGGTTTCATTCTGTCTGTTGCTGTTTATGTGTTTTAGTGGAATGGCTGAAATTCAAGTGTAAAAATGTGCATTGTCTTCTTTCGGATGTTGTGAGTCCTGTGTGCAATAATATGGCCCTTGTGCAAATTAATGGTATGCAATACACTCTTTGGAATACAGTAGGGGATTGTCTCCAAGTGTACTGCCCAATCACCACCAGAAGGACCCCACTGGAAATATGTCTTTGAACTTTTGTTGGTATTCCCTTTGTGTTCACACTGTGTAAATCAAGTCTGATTCAATCCAAAGAGTCTAAATTATTATGTTGATGAGTAGTTGATTGATAATGATAATGAAGTTGACATTTGGTTCTTTGGCTGACCACTCACTTATGTCCCTGGACAAGGAATTTTATTATTGCTTCTAATCCACCCATGTGTTTAATGATGATGACGATGATAGAATACATTAGCGAATTAAAATATTTTGATTATTATTATTATTATTATTATCAGGAAGCGGTTGTTATAACAATTGTTTTTTGTGCTCTTTCTCATTTGTCTATTTGCCCTCTTTTATTATTTGTCTAATTAAACTCTTGTCTAACTATTTTCCTTGCATTGTTTTCTGACAGTTGATAGATGACAAGAAGTTGCTCAGTGAAAAATATGACACGGTTTTAAAAGAATTGAAAGATGTGGAGAAGAAGTACTCAACCAAGATTAACACAATGGAGGAGAGGTAATTGCCTTTACCAAATTAGTCACCAAAACAAAGCTACGTTCTTTTGACTCATTTGTCATCGTGGTCAAAAGAAACATCTTATTTTACAATTTAGCAATTTAAGTTTCTCCAGTAATTTAAATATTTCAAACAGAAATTGCAACAAAATGACTTGGTGACAGTATTTAAGCTGATTTTGTACCTAAATCAACAATGATCTATTAGTCAGCGCTGAATGTGGCGAGTTACCCAAGTGATAATCCTAGGCCCCTAGAAGGCCTCTCAAAACTCTTTAATATTTTTTTATCTGAATTGAATTGTAAATCAAATCAAACTTAGTCTCATGAATCTATTAATCATTCAAAATGTATATGTTGTTATATTAAGTATCTTTAATGCTTAACTTCATTACGATTTAAACAATTTAATATACTCCACTCAATGCATTAGCATAGCTCTTGGGTTCTGTATATTTTTTATACCCACTCGGTATGTCATCTTTGGTGACTAATTTGGTCTATTAACTCTATTTATATTTTCCACTATTTGAATAGCTTGCCTGGTTCCAGACATTGATGATCCTAGTCCTCTCATAGAATAAGGCTTAGGAAGTTGGGTTGGTTAAATTCTTGAGTTTTTAAGCCCTTTTCAGACTAAAATTTTATTTGACAAAATAATATGGCATACCTAAATATGTTCATGATGACATCACATCATGACCATATATAGGCACATCATGACTATATATGGGCATACCACAGTTTTTTTTGTAAAAGAAAATTTGATAATCTGGACAGAGCTTTATAGGATTTGAACCCAGGATCGTGGAATTAGAAGACATGCATTCTAACCACCAAACTACAATTAATTTATACAATATTATCCCCTTAATTGTAATTTGTATTAAATTATACTATTTTTAACAATTTTTGTAAATAACATTGAAGTTATGTAGATTTACTTACAATTTTTCTGTGTATTTTGTTTTTAAGTCATGGAAGAGAAATTCAGAAGTTAAAAGAAGTCCAGGCTGCAGCTGAGAAAATACGCCGAGAAAAATGGATTGATGAAAAGACAAAGAAAATTAAGGTAGTCATTATATAACTTATACTTTTCTCACAATTTTTGTCGCATATTTTCTTGTTAAAAAAAAGTAAGCAACTGTCTACTTAAAAGATAAACTGATGGTGATCAAAATCTTTTATCTAATTTCCTATTTATTTTTGCCAATAATTGTGATCAGAGAAAATTTTCAAATAAATGAAAACTGGATTAAAAAAAAAAATTCAGAAATAATGATTGTGATCATGATCAAATAATAGCATCAGCAATATTACCTCATTTATTCTTGTATTATACTGTATATACTCGTATAAGACGAATCCCAAGTTTGACAATATTTTCAGGTGATTTTTGTATGTCGGCCATTATAAGACATGGTCAGAATTCCTACTTTTTTCTGCTTTTTATGGTCCAGACACTGCATCTAGCTGATTAAATGTGGAGCCAAATGCAAGGTTACTCTTCCAAATAATACTATTTTATGAGTTTTTAAATGTTGATCGAAATTTTATTTCCTCGTATTTAAAATTGCGTTCATTCATACTAAAATTTGGTAGCTTCATTGTGGTAGTAAATTTGCGTGTTACAGACGATCCGCACATAAGAGGAACATGATTTTGATAATCTAAAACCTGTATGTAGTGCTACCCTCTGTTTTTCGATCATATATTACTATTATAAGCCTCACCTTTTATGTGAGTATATACGGTAGTCATATAATGAGACGTAAATAGTGAAATTACTTTTAGCAATTACAGGATTTGAATTGGGCACCTTGGAACTAAAAGGAAAATATTTAATGTTCCAAGCTACCATTCCGCTACAGATTAATACTGATTTTAGAATTTGATGCTACCATTGTAAAATCTCTTATCTCATAAATAAAATTCTATCATTCTAGGAAATTACAGTTAAAGGGTTAGAGCCTGAGATCCAACGTTTAATTGCAAAACATAAAGCTGAAGTCAAGAAAATTAAAACTATACACGAAGCAGAGCAGTTGCAGTCAGAAGAACGAGCGGGACAAAAATACATTAGGCATATTGAGGAGTTACGTGAACAACTTGCGGACGAGAAGGACGCTGCGTGCGCACGTGAAAGGGAACTTGCAAAGCAGAGGTATCATCAACAGTTTTTAGTTTAAAGATTGGATATAAATACCATGAATAACAGTTTAATAATGCAGGCTGTAGTATAATTTGAAAATCTCTCAAATGTTAATTAATATTCAATTGTATATTATTATTTAACAGGTAGTGGCTATTGTTACACAAGTCTTGTACAGATTCTTAATTCTGATTGGATGTTATTTTCCTAATCCAATCCGTACATAAAATGATTTGCAATCAAAATTAAGAATTCTTTTAAGGCTGGTGTAACAATACCCACTGCCTATTTAAAATGATTAAACAAAGTTAACAATTTCTAAAGATATCAATCAATTCTTTATTCCACAAGTACATATAGTACCTCATCAATGTTCTCCCTAGCATCATGGGCAAGCGTCATGGTAAGTGTTAAGTCCACTATAGTTGGGACTGACACAAGATATTTTTTATAATTAGGAGGCATTGAAATATCCTTAATTGCAATTTAAGTCTATATAAAAGCAGGGAACAGTTATTTATTAACTGTTCCCTGATAAAAGCATCATGGAAGATGTTCCAAGCATCATGGCTAACTGTCGAGCATCATGGGGAAAGTCCCAAGCATCATGGTACCATGATGCTTCAAGGGCCTGGGAAGAACACTGCTCATCACATACATTTTCCTTTTAAGTTAAACAGGGTATATCTGAGTTGTTGGGTTTCTCTAAGTTGTTTCAAGGTTAACAACTTTCATGGGTCATCCTGGCATCTTTGTTATTTGTATGTTGAATATTTTTTTTTATTTTTGCCCATTGATGAATTTTAATATATTCTGACCTTTTATAACTTTATATTTATTCCATGCTTTATTTTTTTAAAGTAATTTTTAGGTCTTTATACTGTAATATATGCTGCTTTTTTATTCTATGTCCAACTTTTTTTCTTTGTATTGTACAAATAAAGAAATAAAAAAAATCTATATGTGAGACCCAGTTGAAGAAATTTTAATCTAAATAGAGAGGTAATACCAAAAAACTTAAATAGCAGAAGAATGAGCTCTACGCGTATTTTGCATTAAAATTGATGGAACGTCTGCCCTCTCTAGAATGGAGGAAATAATGTGACCATTTAACGAAGTGGAGAAACTAAGGAAACAAACAAACTCGAGCGGTGCCTTGGATTTATCTCTTGATTAGAAATATATAGCGCCGCCTCTAGGATGAAGGAAAATTGCTCCAGAGACGCCCTCATTGACCTTTTTTACTATATCGCAAACTGCTCTATCTTCTTCTATTTATTATCTTTGGTAATACTCTATAAAGATAGTTCAAATAAATAGTAAATACATATTTCGGAAGAGGTTTTTACAAGATTTCAACCAAGGATTCTCAATTTGAATTACTTGAACCATACTCCATCTCCAATCTTCATTTTTCAGGTACGAGAAGCAACTAGAGCAGGAGGAATCTGCCTACCAACAGCAGCGTCGTAGGATGTATGCAGAAATACAGGAAGAAAAGGAGAGGCTATCAGACCAATCTAGAAGACAGCGACAAGAGATGGATAGGTTACAAGCACAGATAGAGGAAAACAGCCACAAGGGGGCATTAGTCATGAGGCAGGAGTTCGAGAAAGCCAGGGAAGAGCAGGAGAGAAGACATGTGGTGAGATATATCTACCTGTTTATCTATCATAATTATACTGCGCTGTTTTCAGACTGGATGAATAGCAGCAAGATCTCTTCATTTCACCATGTTCAATTTTTTTAGTAAACTAAGCCTGTTGAGCATTTAGTAGTGGGGAACGCATTAGACCTCAAAAGCATCGGGCAAACATTGTTCAGGCGCTGCGGCAGCTGTGCGTGTGGCTCATTTGCATAGTGCTGCGTGCGCAGATCTTTTTCGAATGATCTCAATAATACCTACATGATCTACCTAAGAATTGTGATGTGGTTACTGGTCTATAAATACAGACAGTTGTTTTACCTTAATCTAACCAGTTAATATTCCTTCTCAAAGGCTATAATTTGATCTATGATCTGCTGTTTCCTCCTTGGTGTTCAATGCAGCAAAATTTTTTTGATAATACACAAATTTAATGACTGTTGTTATGTTCTGACTGTATTTCAATACCTGACAGTTGTAGCATAGACTTTAGTTTTCACATATAAAAGTGAGTCTTTTAATAAACCTATATTTTGGCTTCTGTTTCAGACTGAAGTCAGGGAACTTGAGGAAAGACTTAAACTAGAAAAAGAAGCGTGGGTGGAAAATTACATGAAAAAGCAGGTAAAAATACTGAGAAAATAAATACTACATATATCTTCCAAATAATTTTGATTGTTATAGTATATTGAATTATATCAGTGCATACCATTTTGGATCATGTCCAAACATTTAATAGCAATTATAATGATTTATTATGTGGAATTCTTTCTCATTTAAATTTGTTATTGTGACCAACTTTAAATATACAAATTCAGCAAATACACTATGGAATTGCATTTTTATTTTTTAGGTCATGACAGATCTTTAAACACTGAAGTTTTTTGTATACAAACACTGTTAAATGTTTCTTGCTTAAAATAATATCATATCATATATATCTTTTATTTAAGGAAACATTGCTACTGTCAAAGGAGAGGGAACTACGAGAACATGTTCGCCAAGACCGTGACAAAGAGATTGAACTTGTGATTCAAAGATTGGAGGATGATGCAACGGTCACACGTGAAGAAGTTGAGAGAACTGCAGAGAATAGAATAAAGTACGTTGATTAAATACTAATTGCCTTTATTTTCAAATTTCAAAATTTATGTGTGTTGGTGTCATTGCATATTGTAGAGATATATTAGAGTGAATCAATTTACCTCTGACCCTCATAAACAATACCTTTAATAGAAAATTATGCACTAACCGCTCAGTTATTTTTTAATTTAAAGTTTCCTTATTTTACTTCTATCAGACGTATACGTGATAAATACGAAGGTGAACTACGAGAGATGGAGTTATCGGAGAGAAACACGCAGGAGCGTTATAACGATACAAAGGCAAGGCTAGCTGATGTAGAGGGCGACAACATCCGCTTGAATTCGCTCATCAAGCAGAAACAAGAGGATGTAAACAGCATTAAACAGGTAAGAACATTTTGAAGTATCTCCTTATTATTTATTTATTTTTACTTTTAAAAACAGGTTTTATTGAAAAGCAACATCGATATAACATAGCCACTGGGTACATGCTTTTAAAATTGTACTAACAAAATGTACAAGACGGAAAATAAATATACATGTGTATATTATGTGTTTTGTGTATTTAGATGTGTATGTATATTGATGTGTTTTAATATTTGATTGTACAGAACCATTCAGGTTGCTGCTTATTGCAGTATCTTCTCTATCTGATGTATGTATTTATTACTTGTCGAAGTTGAATGAATGAAAATATATCATAGAAATGAAAAAGAATGGTCAACAGTAAATGCTAAAATAGAAATAATAGTTATTGTCACCACCATCATTAACTAAAGTACTTATCATTTTTTCAATTGTTTCTTTCTGTTGTCATCAGGACACATTGTTTCTTTGTTATATAATAATAATAATAATAATTAATAATAATAATAATGCCAAATATTTATATAGCACCAATTTCAAATTGAATAATCAAAGGCACTGAGCATTACTACCCTTGGTTTCTGGATAACATACAATGGAAAACCAGCACAAAGTACAATCATCTCTGCTCCCTGTTGAGTATACCTAGTCGTGCACATTTAATAGGACACAAAATTAATAGTAGGACATTCAATGCCACAACATCCTACCAGGTACCCATTTATACTCCTGAATAAAATAGTTCTAATTACAAGTGTTCATAATGGTGAAGGATTATGAAGGAAGTTATTGTTAACAAATCTTGGCATTTATTATCTTTAATGTTAAAATTAATTAATATTAATGAGCTCTTGCATTTGATTTGTAGCATAATTATCAAAAAGTAATAATACAAACCTTATCTTCATACTTGATTCCAAATAATTTATAATAATAATAATAATAATAATAATAATAATAATAATGATGATGATAATGATAATTATTACCCCAGTCATTGGAACGATGCCTGTGGGGGAAATTCCATAGTTTGCTGCATGAAATATATCAGCGCATTAATTTAATTTTTTTTATATTTTCAGGAATGTGACACACTGTCTAAGGAGAGGAAAAATGTACAAGAAGTTATCCGACAAGAGTTTGCAGATCGTCTGGTTGCCACTGAAGAGGAGAACAGACGTCTGAAGAATGAGATGTCGGAAATGCGAGCAAGGCACAAACTAGAAATAGAGAGAATCGAGAAGAGTAAGGAGGAGGAATTGGAGGAAGTTCATAAACGGTAAATTGTTGAGAATAATATATATATATATATATATATATATATATATACATATATTTTTTATATAATTGACGAAGCAAGACCAGTCATTCATCACAATAATCAATTTTTAGTTATTAATACAGGGTTAAACGGTAAAATGAGAGCTATAAAATAGTAGTAAAATCATTTAAATCGGACATTCCCTTATGAAGTTACAAGCGTTCGAATACACAGCCGTAAAAAGAACAATATTTGAGAAATCAGGTTAGTTTAGTGCAATTAAAAAGTGGATTTCAGAAATTTTGACATTCCAGCATGTTTTGGTCCTTATTTCTAAAACAGTGACTGGTGTTTTCTTGTTAATATTATTAATTTACACATAAAACCCCAAAATTACCCCCAAACTCACCTTTTTGAGGCTTTTTGTACATAATAATATGAAAATGTGAATGTTTAATAGTTGAGCATTATGTACGATAATGCATTTTGTTTGGCAAACATCATTCCTATAACATATGAACTGTTTTAAAACCTGTTTGTTAGGTGCAATGTACATTTTATTTGATTATCTTTGCAGGGTCAAACAAGCCATTGTCAAGAAAGAGGACACAGTAAATCAACTACGTCAGCAATACGATGCGGCAACGAAACGAGCTGACCACTTGGAAGCGCTTTTGGAACAGCAGCGAAAACAGCTTCTCAGTCTGTCCAAGAAAAAGTGAAGCAAAATCTGATGCGAATGGTTAAAAATCAGTATAGATGCAGACCAGACTGGTTTTCCTCTGATGTATGTGCAGTATCGCTAGAGTAGTAGATGGAAGGAGGCTTGTTTCAGAGAGTCAATTAATACTTAATTACTTTCTAAAATAAAGCATATTGTTTTCCTTCATTCTGAGCATGTAGTTGCTTTAAAATATGAGCGTTACATATTCACATGTTTACACCAATATTTATTAACATCACCCATAATAGGTGACAGTTTTTTCAAAGCAACTTTTCTATGACATGTTGGTATACATTGTATATTTTAGTGAATGCATAGGTTTAAATACAGCTGCATACCAATTATATGAGAGAGGCATGGATGATGTGTAGTGTACTGTATTTGTAGAACTGTTTCAATGATATCAAACCAAGGAAAATTGTAAACTTACTGCAAACTTTCATCGAAGTTATCAACAAGATTTTGTCAGGCTATGCGAGTAGCATTCGTTGTTTTTGTTCTAATGTTATGATTGAGAAACTATTTAAATGTCTAGTGTATTTGTATTCATGCAGCATTTAAGTTCATAGGAAACCAGATGCAAAATGTGCAATCATCGAACATTGCCTGTGGAAAATTCCAGTCATGCTTCATGAATCTATGAGCCCTGTTCAGACTGCCACATGCTCATCATGACATCACATGATGACCATATATAGGCACATCATGACTATATATGGGCATAAAACAGTTTTATTTGTCAAAGAAAATCTGATAATCTGGACATGCCTTAATTCTCTATTCTACCAAGTACTCAATTCCTAGATGGAGTGGAACAATGTAGATAAAGTGCCTTTGCATAAGGGCTTGAAACAAGTGGCCTGATTTGGATTAAAATTCTTGGATTTTCAATTGGAATCTGAAATATTTTCCACTGCTGCCTGCTTTCATGTAGATGTCGAAATATGAAAAGTGTAGGCTGTAGCACCGAGACCTCTGACGATTAGTGCCCAAAAATGTTTACAAAACCGTAATGCAATAATAGCATATTGACTACTATTGTATATTTTCGGATAATATTTCAGCCGCTCCAAATCTCTTTCCTATTCTTCCTTCTTCCTTTATTCTTTCACAATTTGTGTTTATTCATACTTTTTATTCATAATTTTATACATGTGACTAGGCTACACGCATAGTCACTAGGTTTAGGCTTAGGCTAGGCCTCGGCTATGCCTATGCCTATTACTATTTTATTAAAATATACAATTTTAATAGATAAGATTAATTTAACATGGACGTAGTAATTCATACTTAAACAATACATTAACTTTAAATATAAATAATATACAATAACAAATAAATAACAAAAATTAAAATGTGGACATAGTGTCACTACTACAATAATAAGATTACTATTTTTGAATCTTATAATCAATTTGATATTGCCAGAGTTGGTATTCACCTAAGCTACTATAACTAATGACAGGTATGCTTTCTCCAATAAAAAAGCTTTTTCTATAAATGGAATGTCCTGTACGAAGCACGAGTTCCTGAAGACCAAACCAGTACCGTTACGATTTTAATCGTGCTGGAAATATACTCAAAAGGTCATTTTTTTAAATGTTAACCCCTGTCCAGACAATATAGGTATTCAGTTTTATTTGACAGAACTTTTTTCCTAAATATGGTCATGACGTGATATCATCATGACCATATTTAGGCATATATAGGCAGATCACGACTACAGTATATACAGGCACAACAGTTTTATTGTCAAAGAAAAAGATGATGATCACGACAAAGCTTAAGCCAGCCTATAACTGACATACAGTATATGCATCTGTTTTTCACATTGATTTTATTAATGCAAGCCCTGCCAATGTTGTACAGTACTTTCGTTTTTAAGAATGATTTATTATTATTTTATTAAGAATAATTTATTATTATTTAATAATGGACACATGGTTTAATAGTTTAATTATTAATGAGTGAATAATAATTTATTATTATTTTATTAAGAATAATTTATTATTTAATAATGGACACATGGTTTAATAGTTTAATTATTAATGAGGTAATAATAATTTATTATTATTTTATTTAGAATAATTATTATTATTTAATAATGGACACATGGTTTAATTATTAATGAGGTAAATAATAATTTATTATTATTTTATTTAGAATAATTTATTATTATTGAATAATGAACACATGATTTACTAGTTTAATTATTAATGAGTGTCTCTGTTGTTGTATGTTGGAGAACACAGAATGTTTACTTTTACATTGTAGAAGAATTGTGAGCTCACTATAATTTATCAAAAAGTCACATGAAGCTGTCATTTAATTTGTGCTTTTATGACATTTTAATTTCAATGTATATTCAAGGTGTTGAAAAATGTAAAAAGTGTGTATAAATGTAAAATGCTTTAATACATCTGTATAGTGAGATACTAAGTTTTTTATACTATTGTGAATTTTGTTAGAAACTGGATATTATTTTGAGAAATTGTATAAATTAAGCTGTTTGTACAGTAATGAAGTGGGGGAATATAAATTATTATTCGTACTTAATACGAATGCTTACATTAAAGCCAGACTCCGAAAAAAAACAAAAACTTTGATAGGTTTTGTACAAATGGATATTCTAGGACACTGAAGGCTTTCAGAAAGATCCAAGAATCAACTTTCTGTCCCAACCATACTAAAAATCTACCGTTACCATACCTGTGTGTGTTTTTAAATCAGATTCATTGCTAAAAATATTAGCATATGCAATTAACTTTATGGAAGCGGTTTGCTGCAGCGGGAACAGTTTTGGTTTCCCAGCCTCGAGGTCGGGGTTTCAATCCCTTGCTGTCCATTTCACTTTTGTCCTTGAGCAAGGCACTTTATCTGCGTGACTTCTCTCCACCTAGGAGTATAAATTGGTACCTGGTGGGGTTGGCTGCTCCTGCACTGATTACCAGCAGCAACACTTAAAGCATGTGGACCCAATGACAAGTGAAAAGAACTGTGCTTTATAACCTCAAGGAAGAGGTTATAAATACCTGTACCAGTACTGTACTTTGTATTTTTTTTTTATTAAAATTTTTTTTTTAAAATACCAGTTTGCTTTGTGAAATATGTATTTCCTTTTCTTACATTTCCATCTATTTCTTCTTTCATATTTCATCTTTCCTTTCTTTCATTTCTTCTTTTCTATTCCCTGTTTCAATTCCTTTATATTTTTATTTTTATCCTTTCTTCTATCCCTTTCCATTCATTTTAAATCATTCCTTTTTATTCTTTTCCTTTTATTTCTTATCTGTTATTTCCTTTTGTCATTTTCCCTTCTTTCACTTCGCCTTCTCCATTCTTATTTTCAGTTGAAAGCTGAAACTTCAATATCAACAGTTTTATTGTTTTAAGTTAACACAGATGAAATGGTACAGCTTTCAGTGATGTAAAGTTTGAGTACTGTAGGTTTATTATTTTAGGTGGAGACACACACCCACTGCTAATAATATGTCATGCTACAATCAAATAATGCCAGAATCACATGCCTCAAAAACCTCAAACATATGCCACAGATGCAAACAAATCATGCCACAAGCATCATGTTAAACATTCCACAAACATGCCACAAACTCTTGGCACAATACTGTTTTTATATTATGTTTGTGTTTGGTTTGCAAAATGAAAATGTTGTATATTAAAACTAACACATGCAAACATATATACATGCTACAACTGTATCTCACGCTAACATGCAAAAGACACAGACACTTAACATAAACAGATGCTACAAACATACTGCTACACTACTAATATTATGCCACCAAACATACCAACAGGTCATTCAACCAAGGTACCTGAGCATATAATTGTTTATCTCGCAACTTGTTTTTTTTTTGTTGAGAATTACCAGTAAAATGCTCAGTAAGGCTATTTGAAGTCAGATGCATTTTCTATTTGATACTGAACTATGTGAGGTAAGTAATATCCTCAATGGATATGATTGAACATGGTATAGATAGATCAGTAAAATATAAGTTTTCTGTAGGACAAGGTTGATGGTTATAAAATAAAAGTTTTAATAGACCACAGATTTCTGTTTTTCATAGAGCATTCTCATTTGGTTTCACTCCATTAACAGAAATTTACTTTCCGAAGATGCAAATTGCATTCGCTTTTACACAGGATTAAAAAAACAACGTCAATTACTGATGTGGTCAGTGGTTTGGTGCAACGGGAACAGTTTGGTTCCCAACATCAAGGTCGGGTTTTCAATCTCTCGCTGTGCATTTTGCTTGTGTCCTTGAGCCAAGCATTTCTGCTTTACTATTATTTTTAATATTATTATTATTATTATGACTGATGTGTAAACAAAACGATTTATGTAAAACAGTTGCCTATTTCAGAAAATAATACCAACATATTTCTTTTAAAGAAGTCCTGGCTATTAGGCGCTATAAACTATGTTTAAATACCGGATTAAAAGCATCCAAAAAACTTATTCGCGCGAGTACGGTGTGGTTATACACCTACTATGAAAACAAAAAGTTTTCGGTGATAGAGGGCGCACTCCATAGCGGACATTACGAGTAAACACTGTGCGCATAACCCAGACCCTGGGCATAATAAACAATAACAAATTACACATGTTGTGTTAAGACAAGGTAGGCCCTGTTTATGCTTTTCTTGGCTGGCATCTGATCCGTTTCTTATCACATTATATAATGCATTTTTGTTAGCGAAAAAATTCAGTTGGGACTAGGTAGGCTTGGCCCAGCTAATCTAGTAGCCTAAGCCTAGCCTATCGGATATCCTGCTCAATCTTTTTGCTAGTAGGCCTGGGGGACCGGTCCAGTCAGGGCAGGGACCCTGGGACTACTGGCTCCCTTGTCCTAGGCCTACTACTAGGCTGCAGGCAAAGGTCTAGGCCTAAGGTTAGAAAACTCTCCCCGTGAACCTTACCAGGGATTTTTTATTCCGAGCCGTCGACCAGCAAGGCTTTGTCGGCCCTTTGACTTGGACACTCCGTTGCACCCCTTGTTGGCAAATTTCTGGCGCCACTTCTGGTTGCGTGAAGGTTTGTGAACCATGTATTTGACCTAGTTTGCGTGAAAAAATACTGCAGTGTGCCAAGGTTTATGCACTTACTGTATTGTTCTAAATAAAAGTAAGAGTAAAATGATAGCTATAAAATGGTAAAAAAATCATTTAAATCGGACATTTCCTTATGAAGTTACAAGCGTTTAACCACAAAGCTGTTTAAAGAACAATTATATGAGAAATCAGCCTTCAAAGTTTATGATTTTAGTTAGGCATTTCTCATGCAGAAACTATCTTTAAATCCTTAAAAAGTGTTGTTTTAACATTGAAAATGGGGAAGATAACAGCATAGGATGATGTGTAGATATATAAAGGTTAGTTTAGTGCAATAAAATACCGGTAGATTTTTAAAAATTTGACAT